AAAAAAAAAAAAAAAAAAAAAGTGAAAAACTAAAAACAAAATTATTTACAATAAATTTAAATATTAGTATAGTAAGAAATTTAATGCCAATGAACTTCGCTGGGATGAGTTATTTGTCCTAATTTGAAAAATCTGGTCAAGTTATTTTGAGTTGTTGTCTTAGAGGTATTTAATTGTAACTGTGGTAGTTTCCCATCACGTTTTAGTACACCCACACATTTCCAATCTCCAACTGTAGCTAAAACAATTTCATTAAAAAATTTTAGTTTAATATTTAAAGGTGTAAAATATATTTATTTTGTTACAACAATCAAGTTTATTCCCCCTAAAAAAAAGATGGAACTATAAACTATATTGTTATGTATCTCTTAATTAGCACGAAGAACTTTAACTTACAGTAAACTTAACATGATTAATAATTATAAAACATAATGTGTATTCAAATGGTTAGGTTATGCTATAACAACAAATACAGTGTTGACACATAATACAACATAACTTATATGTTGGTTAAAAAAGTTAAGCCAGACAATTTAATTAGCTGCTGAGTTAGTCAGCTAGTCAACTAAAGAATCTAAAACACAACATCTCTCTCTCTTTACAGATTATTGATAATTTTAAAATAATAAGGTTTTATGATAAGGAAATATTATTAATACAAATGTTAAAGCAATTAATTTAAAAATAACGTAAGAATACATGTATTATACACATTTTGCAAAGTCCTAGAAAAGAGGTGTCTATGTGTTTTACTGTACTGATTAGTTGGCATTATTCAAGGGAAAAGTTCCCGGAGACATGTTATGCTTTTCCCATGCTACTCGCAGTTACTATTTATACTTAGTAACACATATTCTTACAATTCAAAATATTGTCTTATGTTAATAACTAATTTTATTTTTGAATACTCGAACCATGTCACCGACAGAATAATAGATATCTATTTAAAAGTAGTAATTTACTTGAATACCTCTAATATATTTGGCTATTAGGAGATAAAAATTTTAATAACCCAATCTATATTTGTAATTTAATGTCAACTGTATTTTTAGAATTATTACATCTAATTATTAATAAAACTTACATTTCCATAGCCTTACACATCCATCATCTCCTGATGATGCTAATACAGTACCAGTTATATTCCAAGCAACTCTCCATACAGTACAATAATGGTCATCACATTGCATAGAAGTTTGAATAGAATAAGAAAATCCACTAGTGGAATCTCTGTTTAAAGAGTTAATTGTGCACATATTTAGTTTAAATTACAAGTTTCAAATAAAAATTAATATTATATATTAATTAATAAAATACATACGCAATAGGTTTTAGTTTTAAAATGCGAACATTATTTGTGGCTATTGCTAGTAGATGATATGAGCGTCCTAAATTTGGAGCAAATATCATATCATGGACTGGATGAGTAACACTAGACACAGACTCTGTTTTGGACCAACGACGAGAAACTTCATTATACTCGCATATAAATACCTTACTATTTGTTGTATTAGAATTTTCATCACTACCAACAGCAATCATAGCATTTGGCATTTTAAAACTATAAATTTCATCACAAACATGTTTATGAACCAGGTCAAATTAAAAAAAAAAATGTCAACCTTGAGAGTAGAGGATTCCAAGTTAGGCAACTACTAGGAATTTTAAGAGAAACTTCATGTTGTAAAGGCCATTGTGCAAGATTCATTGCATCAGGTGCTTCATAAATTCGCATCACACCATCAGCTGAACATGTGGCTAATATTAATCCAAAAGATTTAGGACCAAATTTAACATCAGTAACAGATGTACGTGAATCAACTAAATTAGCACGCCGTACCCAATGTCTCAAAAGTGTACCTCCCTCATTGCTTTCACCAACTAAAACAAAATTTTAATATTTAATAACTTAGAATTCTAGGTAAATTAATAAGATATCTAATTAAAAGACGATATAATTGCGCTTCGCTATTCTGCCGTGCTAAGCAAAAACAGGATAACTCCAAAATTAAAAAAATTTTTTTTTGTTTCTATAGGTAAATTTAGTGGTTTTACACCGATTTTTGATGTAAAAGTAGCATATTTCCTATTAAAACCCATCTAAAATTGAAATATAAAATAAGAAAATATACGGTAAGTTCAATATATTTGATGTTTTATAAGCGAAAACACGGTAAATCCAAATACTAAGCAAAAACTTGGTATATCACATAAAAAATAATGGAGTTACCATCTTTTGACTTATGTTCATACATTGGGAAAAAAGGGTATCTTGATTTACTGTTAAAAATGTTTTTTTGTGTTCCTGAAAAATCATGTTGACTGGAGTTATCCTGTTTTCGCTTAGCACGGAAGTATTGTTATCTTTATTTTCTTCAAGATATTGTGTTGAATACTAAATTTTTTCATATCAGGGATTGAAAACATTTTTTTAAAAGGTTACATTTTATTCAGTATAACCATCATTTAGTTATTGTGCTATTGCTTATAAATATTGTTAAAATAAAACATTTTTCATAGTAAATAAAAAGTAATTATGAATTTTAATAATTTTTTTTGTGGAATAGTGGATTTTAAATAATGTTTCAACAACTATAATTTAATTGAAAACTAAATTAACAATTTTTTTTTTACATGGATGTTTCAAATCATATAAGCTATCTGTAAATTAAAAAAAAATTCATTAACAATAAAAATTGTAGAATTTATCAAATGAAATTTTTTTGAAATAATAATGTTTTTAATCCTGGTTTCATAACTCTAATTACTTCATATTTTGGTAAAATTATTTAATATTAAAATACATAAAAAAACAAATTAAAATACATTTTTTATATCTGAACATTAGAGGTAAATTATCACAAGTCACATTTTTAAATGACGTAAGAATATTTTAAAAAAAATGTGACTTGTGATAATATATCTCTGATGTTCAAACATGCTAATAAAATTTGGCATTATTAAATTTTAATTTTCATGTTTGATTTTACAGTCCATTTAGGGCTACAGTAGCCTTCCTTAAGAGAAAGTTTCTGAACCCAACCACGGATCTTTGGGATGGATAGTTAGTTCCATGTCAAAGAATGAGATAACAACTCCCATTACTGAACTCATTTTCCGTTCAGCAAATGAAGCAATTTATTTTTATTTATTAATTGTATAAAGTTAAATATCCATAATTCAATAATTAAATTTAACAATTAAATAATCCATTTGTTTCATTTTATTTTAGGTATACAAAGTAGAAGAGGTCAAATTAATGTATAAAAAATAAAACCCAGCACAATGAAGATATGGCATAATTGAGACAAGTATACATGATATCTAACAGTGAATAAAATCAATACCAAAAAAATGTTTTAATACAAATCTTTAGATACTGTTGCATTTTTAGAAGGAATTGTTTAATTATTTCAACTGGCAACATGAAATTCTATTTTCTTAATTATTTTCTGATTAAAAGTTTTATCATTTATAAGTATAATACTTATTATAGAAATTAAATTAAGAATAAAATTGATTTTTAATAATTTAGTTTTGTAATTTTCACGGAGAAATTATAAAAAGTTATAATGTTTTTGTATATGGTGATAATTTTTCTTTTATTTAATATTGATCAAACTTAAAATTATTTCTATTAAAATAATAAGGAAATTAGAAAATTGTATTAGGAAATTTTTTTTTGATATTTTTTAATTTTATATAATTCTTGATTAATAATTTTTTTTTTTAATTCATTCCTTAAACCGTATTAAGGTGTCAACTTTATTTTTTAAATGGCAAATACATAATTAACTAGTTAATACAATAATAATTATTTAGTCAAAAAAATAACTAGTCGATAACAACTTTAGAAATAATATAATAAAAATTTATCACTTGTGACTAATTAATTTTACTTAAAAATAGTACTTTGAAAGTTATTAATATTTTTAAATATAGAGTGGAGGAACAGACTAATGTGTAATGATAAAAACAAAAAAATATACACTAAATTTTAAAATAGTAATACCATCTGAAATAATGAGTTAAAATAATCATTTTCTTAATTAGACCATTTCCTATTTTATAATCTAGTTAATTAAGTATGTTGCTATTTGAAAAATAAAGTAGACGACACCATTAAAAGGTATATGGCAGGAATTAAAAAATATATTTAATAATTCATAAATCAAGGAATATATTAAACTAAAAAATACTAAAAATAATTTTCGTAATATAATTATTATTTTAAGAGAAATTGAATGGCTATAAAAAAATCACTCTATATTTCGTTACCTTAGTTCATCATAAGACAGTGGTAGCTAGAATTTTTTTTGTGAAAAAGTAGCCACCTTTCTTTTAATATACATATTTATTTATTTGTAAATTTAATGGGCTTAGCCCTTTTTACAAAAACAGGTTATTAAATAATTTTATAAAATAATATCTGTATAAATATAATTCACAATAATTCAATAGAATATTTAAAATAATAATAAAAAAAAAAAATTACCGTTTTAAAGTACAAAATAAGAAAAAGGAAGTGGTAAACAAGATAACTTATGTGAGTCCATATTGGCACTATTTAAAATTCTTCTAATTGGCTCATTTTGTAAGTAATTTATAGAACTAATTTGAACGATGAAAAGAAAATGGGAACAAGAATTTCTCTGAGAAACTTTAAAATTAATTAACTGCAAAAGATACATTGATTCAATACTACCATTCAGCAATTCATTAAAAAATTTATTATTGGATGACATTAAAAGTAACAAAAATTCTCCATGAAAAATTTAAAAACTAACACTTAAATAATTTTTATAATTTATTCTTTTAGTAAAAGGGGAGTTCTATCGGGTATTTATGCCCTCTTTCCTATAATAAAATGAGGAATTTTTAAGGAGTTAGTTCAAAATTCTAAATGAAAGAGAAATACCTAAAGTATTTATGAAACAAAAAGTTGTTTTGATTCTTTTATTTTTCAAAATTTATGACAGTTTTAAGAAAAAAAAGTATATAGAATGTCAAAATTTACTGTCAAAAATCTTAATTTTTTAGAAGAATTTCTTCATTTATGGGGATTATGGACATTTTTTTTCAATTTTTGAGTGTAATGTATTCAACTAGATATGATTTATGATATTTAATGTATTGTTAAAAAACAATTCAATAAGATCACAAAAAAAGTGGTGATAGATACTAAAAAATACAGTAAAATTAAAACTTCAGCTTTGCATTGAAGTTAAAAAATAGATTAGAAAGATAATAAACTATAGCTTACTTATTTCTTCCCATATAGCTGCAGTTCTATCAAAAGAACAAGTTGCTAGAACTTGACCGAATTCTGGATGAGCCCATGTTACCTTCCACACAGAGCCACTATGGGCTTTCCAACTAGCTGTTAAGTTCCAATTACCTTGCTCATCTTGATCCCATACCTTATTTATTAAGATTAATTATTATAAATGTGTTTACATTATATGCTTATATTTTAGTTATTCAATCATTCTGTTTTATAATTTTAAAATAACTAAAACTAAATTTAAAAAATATATAAAATATAATATGTTTATAAGAAGTAGGATTTTAATTAATTATAATAATACAATTAAATACATTAAGTTTTGTTTTGTCCTCACATTTTTTCCTAAATCATAATTTATTTTCACCAATTATTATACAATAAATAAAATAAATAATGGGAAATACAAATAAAAATACAGTAATATATATGTAAAAAGCTCATATAAGTATAAAATAATTTAAAACTTATATTGAACATAGAAAAAAATACTAATGTATTTTTATATTTAAAATTAGGAAATATGAAAAATATAGTTAAGGGAGATCAAATAAATCGAGTTAGACACTAGAGCTTGATCATATAGCTAGAACTTAAATATAAAAAACACTCTTGATTAATTATTACGATTAAATGTTAATTAAATAAAATTAAAATTAAATTATGTATCTATATTCTAATGTACTTATACTTTTAAATATCTAACTAACTCTATTGCTTGAAGTGCTTAAGGATGTATCCATATTTACAGTTGAGTTCTGACGTTTTGGACTCATTGCAGAGTCCATCTTTAAAATGATGGTAGCTAGTCGGTGGCTGCAACTATACTCTAACTATACTGAAACGTCAGAACTCAACTGTAAACATGGATACATCCTTAAGCACTTCAAGCAACAAGACAATCCATGAAAGCTTTAACACGTTCATAACTATTTCTAAATATGTTTATTAATAATATACAAGTTGAATATTATAACACTCAATTTCTCTTAAAATAATAATTATATTAAAAATATAATTTTTGTAATTTTATATTATCATATAATTCTTGATATATTAATTATTATTATTTTTTAATTCATCCTTTATAAGGGTTTAATACGTTATAAGGTGTCAAATTAATTTTTTATATAGTAACTAAAATAGTTATTGGTCTAATTAAAAAAATGACTCATTGATATAAACTTTTGGGCCAGTACTCTCAAAGATATTAAATCAAGAAATATATAAAACTAAAAAACACCAAAAATAATTTTCATAATATAATTATTCTAAGAGACATTGAGTGGCTAGAATTAAAAGAATCACCGTGTATATCCAGGGGATTTGCTACATTTCGATAAAAACGATTCAGATTATTATCATAAACAAAATAATTAAATCAAAAAAATAGCAGTATAAACCTTAACAAATTGATCAGTAGAGCAAGTAGCCATTCGTTCACCATAATAATCGAATGCAACATCATGTATCAAGTCTTTATGTTCAGCATTAATACTATGAGCTTCAACCATCTTCTCGTGGATATATTGTATAGTTTTATTACAAAAATTCTTTAAAAAAAAAAGTAAATGATTTCAATTTCATTAAGATGACAAAAATAAATTTTAAATTTACAAACATTGGTGGTATCATTGAATTCTAATACATGATGATAAGTAATTGTTTACTAACATTGAGGTTAAACTAGATAACACTTACAGTTTCTAATCTCTTTGTGAATCGATCAATAGTTTCATGTCAGGCGCCAGGATGTCGTTGAAGATACAAAAGGGTGAGTTTATTATGGGTTTTTGAACACGTATTGATTTTTGGGAACTGAGTAGGCTCTTTTAAATGGACCAGAAGTTTACAAATTATTATTTTTGTTTTCCAATGAGTCCTGAGTGAGCTTTAAAAGACTTACTTTTCCAATTATAGTTAATATTTACTTTCATTAACATGATAAAATTATTAAAAATAATATTTAATTTAATATAACATTTTAATTATAAAAATTTTATTATGTCTATTTTAGAATTATTATCAACTAACGTACCTCCAAGTGCCGTATGGAAAGGGGCTAAGGAGGCTTTAGTCCAAATAAATTACATTTAGGTTCTAAAAATAAATAAAATATACTACATGTAACATTTTACAAATATTTTTTTTTATATTTTAATCAGTTAATTTTAATTATTATTATAACTTCTTAAATAAATAGGCAACGCCATATAATTGAAGGTTATAGCATTTATAAAAAAAAATATCTTAGAATATTATAAATTTGGTTCTATTTTTTGAAAAATAATCTTTATAGTTCTTATCTCTGAATTTTAACATAACATCAAATCAAAGAATTATTCACCAATTTTATTCCTCAAATCTGTCCTGTATACAAACAATAAGTTAATTATTAATTAGATAAATATTTATGACTCATATGTCATACTTTTATGTTTAATGCAATTTAATTAACATCCTTGGTATGCACTTGAATTTATTATCAAACATTTGTTTTGATAGTAAATAACTAATAAATTAAATTAAATTTGAAACATTTTAAACAATTTTATGAAATTTATTGTTACCGAATAATGTATCGTATTTTGATAAAAAATAGTAAATATTGGTCCTATGTGGATTATTTTAAATTGGGCTCTGCCCATATCGGGGGCTCTATGAGCCTCACATGTCTTCGTCTCGTAAGCCTCTTTGGGTCGTTTTTATAAGTAAGCTACTGATTCCAGTAATAATACCCGGCTATGCCGATCACAATAAGTATTTTGCAGAAAAAATATTACATGGAAAGATGCTATAGAATATTTTTTTCTAAAAATCAAAGCGGTTATCAAAAAAAAATGTCTTATGTTTAAATTATTTTTAGGCCATATTTCTTAGACATTAGCCTTAAGAAATAATGATAAGGCTAGTTCCAAGGAGCGCAAACAACCATGTACGAGATACGTATAATATGCCTGTAGTTTTTAATATAATTAATTATAATAATTGTATTAATTTTATAAAATAATTATAGAAAAATTCGACAGGTTATTATTTTTTGGACTATGTAAAAAAAGTCAAATTTGATAAGAATGTTGGTTACTGTGATTTGATGTTGCACAGCTAGATTTCATAGATAAGTTTTAATTTATTTTCACATATTATGTTTAGTTTATTAAGCATACAAATACTTTCTGTCGATTTCTTTTAAATATGTTTATAATACACATTTGTTCATATATTTAATTAAGTTAACTGTTATATATATATATATATATTGTTTGAACTTTTGCTTTGTAATTAGCTTACTGTACAATTGTACTTTTTTTTTATGTCCACGCAGTGTTTAAATTAGGATACAATTTTGCATTTGCGCATAACACTATATTTTGTATTTTTCAACAATATATATGTTATATTTACATTTGTTATGTTATACATGTAAATTTCAGTATAGTTATAAGTATATAAGTTTGTAAATTTCTTATCAGAATAGTACAGTATTATTAATCGTATTTACTTCATATATGATGTATAAGTCTGATTTTATCTTAAAAATTTAGATTCATCTATGACAACTATGTCCGTCAAATCATACTAAACAATATTTTTATCAAAATTGAATTTTTTACATATTTCCAAGAATAATGACCTGCCGAATTTTTTTGTAATTATTCTATACTATTAATACAATTATTATTATGTGAATATTAATAATTATTGTATTTACCAGGGGCGTATTTAAGGGGGAATATGGGCGATTGCCCCCCTTGAACCAGCGGTACCAATATTTTTTTAGGCAATTTCTAAGAAATATGGACCTAATGACCTTTTTTTTTTATAATCACTTTGTTTTTAGCAAAAAAAATTCTATAGCATGTTTACCAAAGTAAAAAAAATTAAATACCCTCCTAAAATAATTTCTAAATACGCCCGAGGAAAATATCTTATTAACAAACGTCAACCTTATACTCAATAATACATTTTACTATATTCTCTTTTTGAATTTTCCTGATTTTTATAATTCAATTTTTAATTCTTTTAGTTACACTGATCTTGATATAATATTTTTCCTGCAAAACACTTATCGTGCCCGGCATAGCGGGGTTCTTCAACCGGAATCAGTGGCCTACTTACGAGGATGCCCCAAAGAGGATTACGTGCCGAGGCGCGTGAGGCTCGTAAAGTCCCAGGTCTGAGGCGGATATCCAGCTAGATGAAGACTAGTAACCAGATAATTTTTGAACTCCTTAAATATTTTTTTTTAACTAAAAAACTATCGATTTTTAAAATTATGAAATCGTTACTAAGTGGTAAAATTATAGGTCGGAGAACTTGTACTCGACGAAAAGTGTTTTATGCATTTCTAGCGCTTATGTACTTTTGGCTAAGTATAAAGTTTAGGTATTTGAAGAGTTGAAATTTTAATGAAAAACCTGAACACTTCTTCAATTAATAATTTTTAAACTTTTTTTTTTTACTTATCACTTCATTTTAAAAATAAATATTGCTTTCAAAGGGAGGGGGCAACATTATATGATATGAAGCGAATAAAATTTGAATTATTTAAAACTAACTAAATATTTCATTTAAGCTACTCCTGCGCCAGCCTTGTATATTAATCTATCATGTAAAATTTTCTTTAAACAATTACAAAAGTTTACTTAAACATTTTAGTCCCTATATAGTTTTGAGCACCAGTATTAGACTTAAAAACGGAACCCTATTTTTTTTTTAAACTTAATTAAAACCACGTCGATTTTGATCATAGATTAAAAAAGATGTTATTCTCAAATAATAATAATAAAAAAAAAAGAAATTCGTTAAAACGTAATACGGTTCTCTGTGAGACTCCAGTAAAATGAGTCCAGCGACTTTCCTCATACATAGGATTGATTTAAAAATATTGTTTTGTATACAGTCATGAGAGATGACCTTACATTTTTAGAAAGGTGTAGGCTAAATATTGTTGATTATAATAATCAAAATAATGATAAGTAAAAAAAGTCAGAATAATTATAAAGTTTGTCAAATGTGTGTCATCCAAGAGCGTAATTTCAACAAAATTTTTAGTGGTGATAAATTAATATAAAGTTATGAATGGTGATGAAGAGTGAGAAAAGCTATTATTTTTATAACAATACATTTTTTACGGTAATCTTCCTGTTACCTACATATAAATATGTCAATAACTTCCGAAATACTGGTACAGAAGTTATTATCCACCAGTCATTTTCTTAATCAGATCATTATCTATTATATAAGCTAGTTAATTATATGTGTTGTCATTTGAGAAATTAACGTTGATACTCTATTAAATTATAAGGATGAACATTTTTTTATGATTGAATAAAACATTGAATTGAAAAAATCCAATAAAAAAATGATTAATATAATTTTGTTTTTCGACTAAATGGTTCATGATAAATCAATCAATCTGTATATATATAAATGTCTAAATTTTTGGGGTTCCAATACCCTTAAGCCTATCCCTTAAATTGAACCTATGGTATCGATAAGTATTAACGAATAATATTAAAAGAGATAACACTATACTAAGTGTAAGTTAAGCAATTTTTCGAAGTAGTGCCGGTAAAATTATTTGCAGGGCTTATGCAAATTTCTTTTATATTAAATTTGATGAAAGGTAATCAGTATGAAATTTAGTGGCTAGCTGACACTACTAGTGCCTACTGGCACTCATTTATTTAGGATTTATTTACTGTATTTAAAAATAAAAAGGCGCTCATTTTTCATCTTTATTAAAAAAGTACCAGAAAGTGATATAAATTTGGTTTAAATTTTAATAATAGTTATTATTGAGATAAAATTATTAGAATTGTAAACCATTTTTGTTTTAAAGAATCGATTTAGTTTACAGAATAACAAGTTACAAATATAATGCCTACTCGAAATTACTTTAAAAATTATATAGAAATGATAGCGCTAATTTAGAATATTAAAACAATTTGGAATAATCATTATATTTGAATAAGCTATATCTATTATTTGTTTGAAAAGAGAGTGGATAACGTAACTTGTTTTTATAAAAAACACTTTTTTTTTTGTTGGTGCCACCCACGTGTATATAATTAACTTTAAGCGGGGAGGGGTTAATAAATGAAATTTATTTAGGATAACTTTTTTACTTACTGAAACATATTTTTATGTACCAATTTGATTAGGTAATAGGAATAATTCATTAAAAATCAAAATGATACACTTTGTTTTACGTTAATTTTAAAAATTAAAATTAAAATTAAAAAATTTTTGATTTAAAAACAAATTATAGTTTTACAGGCTTTTAAAAGTACTTACATCGTAACATTTTTTTTGGAAGAACAAATTCATATAAAATTTTTTTAAATTTCTTTTTAAAGGGATTGCTTGACTTTTTTGAAGTCTTTAATCCAAAATATAATTATGTCACAATTTTTTATAGAAATTTTTGATAGCTTTCAATAAATAGGTAATCCATCCTATTTTTATTTGTTGTTTCTTTTGATTTTCTCTAACATTCATCCGTTGATGAAGTAATTTTAATGATGTATGTTCATGCTTATAGAGATTATTAAAATTCTCTTAGGTCATTGAGAAATGAGATTAGATTTACAAACATAGTATTAGAATTTTAATACTAATATTATATTTATAAATCTGTTATCACACTTAGAGTATGTAGAGTACCCTTTACACTTTATCTTTAGATTTGAATTTATAGATTTTTATTTTATTTATGAAATATAAGTATAAATATTTACAAAAAATTGTAATATATTTGTAGAAAGTAGTTGATAATGTTTAGAAAATTTGTAAAAAAGGTATATTATTTTGCTAGTAAACTATACATTTTATATTCTTAAAAAATGTATTTTTCATCTAAAATAATTGTTACTTTTCAATTGATGTCGTTATAGTAAAAAATAAATCTTTCATATTTTATGAGGTTTATTTTATTTGTTATCACGTTAAATTAACTTCAGGTCGAAGTTTTGATTACTCGTCCGTACTCAATTAAACGGATACGGTTTAAAAAATAAAGCTATGCAGTTAAATGGTGGCAACACTGCAGCGGTAACGATTAATCCGCACTGGATCCGGCCAGTCTGGCGCCAATTCGACGACTGAAAGTCTGAAATCCTGTCGACTTGCAGCATCCGTTGCCGCCGGTCCTTATCTTTCGGCGCCCCTTAAGTCGCATCCCTTGTCATCGCTTCCTCTTCACCACCTACTGTGACCACTTCCGCCTGACCTTAGTGTAACGGGTCACCCTACTGCTAACACCTCTCATACCGCCGTGCTAGGGGTGGGCGCCGCCGTGGTGCTTCGCATTTGGCAAACTCGAGCTTATTGATCGGCCTACCCGTTCGATTATTGTACGCTTTCACTGTTCTCCTTGTACTTTATATGTTCGCGCACCCGTTTTAATTCTATTACGCCCGGCTCAGTCTTTCACAAACATTTGAGGGACACGGACGAGTGTCGTCGGGCGGCGCGCCGCGCCGTTTAACACTACCGCTTTTTTCTGAGTAGGGTTGCAAGTTAGAAAATAATTAAACTATTAAATTAACTTTTAAACTCGAAATGCATAATGTTATTAGAAGTTTATGCACTTTTTTTATTAACGTTTTCAGTACAGTTTATAAACACAGATTTCGCCTATAATACTCACATTGTCGATCAAGGTAATGTATCTTATAAAAGCTAAATTGAGTGTATTCAGTTGATTAAAATTTCTTCTAGTCCGTAAGATATGTTTGATATTCTTGGTTGTAATATTTGAAATCGACCGGGAATCAGACATATTGTACGGCTAAAGAAACTTTCAGCAAATTAAAAATAAAAAAATTAACTTGATACTCAGCCATTATACAATCTGTTTATTTTTAAGTGTATTAAGTTTATTGTTTGTTGTACTAGAATTTATCATAACTTTTAATGGATTTTATTTGAATCGAACACGGTATAATTACATATCTGCCGCATTATCATTATCAGGTATTCAAAAATGGAAAATATTACATAGAAATAATCCAGCAAGTCAATATCCCAGTGATTTTGATGTTTTATATGTAAATAATTTTTATTCTACTGTCTAAATGTTATTAAAACGGTTTATTAAATAAATTTATTTGTAGGTTAATGATTGCAATTTATTGAATGTTTTAAATTCATTAAATAATCATCCTATGATAAAAAATGTATCTCCACAAAGAATAGTACAAAGATATTTAAATCACTTTGATAATGAAACTGAAAAAGTACCTATACGCAGACGAAGTCTTGGACAAGTAAGCATAATTAATTACATCAATTCAAAAAATTATACTATTTTTTATTTAGGATATCAAGTTATGGCAAAAGTTAAACAAAAGATATAAAACACGACATTTACTTCGTGCTGTACCTAAACAAATAACTAAAATTCTTAAAGCTGATATATTATGGCGTTTGGGTATTACTGGTTAGACCTTAGAATTATTTTCATTGATAAAAATATCATTATATATTGAGATTATAGATACTTTTTATATAACAAATAAAATATAATTCAAAATTATAAACAATTTTTGTTTTAAATAGACTTAGTGTCAAAAAATGATTGAGAACTATTGTTTTATAAATTTTCATTTTAAAAATGGTAACTTATTAAAAAATTCACTAACGACTAGTAGTTACCAATAATTTTTTAATTTTGAGTTATATTTTATTTGTAATATCATTATTGTTTAAACATTTTTATAATATCTATACTTAATTCTAATTTTTATTAAGTCTCTTTTTTTGTTTCTGCCAGGGAAAGGTGTAAAAGTAGCTATTTTTGATACTGGATTAAGTTTATCTCATCCTCATTTCAAAAAGGTTGCAGAAAGAACAGATTGGACTGGAGACGGTACCTTAGATGATGGTCTTGGTCATGGAACATTTGTTGCAGGACTTATAGCATCTAATAGTGAATGCTTTGGTTTTGCTCCTGATGCTGATTTACATATTTTTAGAGTTTTTACCAATAATCAAGTATAGAAATTAAATAATTTGAATAGTTTAATACATATTGTTCCTAAATAGTTTGTTTTTTGTAGGTTTCATACACATCATGGTTTTTGGATGCATTTAATTATGCTATTATGAAAAAAATTCATGTGCTTAACTTGAGTATTGGTGGACCAGATTTTATGGATCAGCCCTTTGTTGATAAAATTTGGGAACTAACTGCTAATGGTATAATTATGGTATCTGCCATTGGTAATGATGGGCCTTTATATGGGTATGATAAAAACCATTGTTATCAGGTAACATTAATATAAATAACTTTATCAATTTTGCAGAACTTTGAATAATCCAGCTGATCAAATGGATGTTATTGGTGTTGGTGGTATTAGCTTTGAAGACCATATTGCAAAATTTTCTTCACGGGGTATGACTACATGGGAACTTCCTCAAGGGTGTGTTGTTTAAAAAAAACAAAAGTGTTTATGCTCATATTGTTTTATTTTATTTTAGATATGGCCGTTTGAAGCCTGACATAGTTACATATGGTACTGATGTCTATGGATCAAGTGTCAGTGGAGGATGTCGAACACTTTCTGGTACCAGTGTAGCATCACCTGTTGTAGCTGGAGCTGTAACATTATTAGCTAGGTAATATTTACTATAGTAATTTGTAATTATAAATTACAGTTGTGTAAATGAACTATTATTTTGTTTAGTGGTATATTGGCTCAAGGTAAAAGTGTAAATCCAGCTAACATGAAACAAGCATTGGTGACTAGCTCTCAAAGGCTTCCTGGTATCAACATGTTTGAACAAGGACAAGGAAAACTAGATCTTTTAAAAGCTTTCAAGATACTATCTAATTATGTACCTCAAGTCAGTTTCATTCCTAGGTAGATTGGATAGTTAATTATTACTATTGATTAAATACAATTAGATAGATTGAAATATAAGATTTCAGCAATGCTGTTCTGGACCCCATATTAGACTAACTGCTAGATAGTAATTGTACTGCAAATTTTAATTGATTCATATATTTTTTTAACTAATAAAACAGTGTGATAATAATGATATCTAACATATACTATAGACAGTGTTCAAAAAAAGAGTTGCAGAAATTTCTTATTGCGTGATCTATATATTTGTATTTTATCAATCTTATTACCATAGCAAATTATCTTCCAAGTGCATTTAAAATATACCATAAAAGTTAATCAATTGTTTGTTTAATTTAATTTGATAAAATGTTAATTATATATTTTCATAATGATAAATCAAAAAGTTCTATTAAACATGTTATATTTAATTTTTGGGTATCAGAGTTATAGAAGTTGAGCATTTTTGAAGTATTATATCCAATGAAATTAATGTTATTGAAGAATAAAAAATTATAAAAGATTCAATTTTTTTTACTAAATGTTATGTTACTAAAATATGTGATATAAATTCATTAATTTGTTTAACTTTTATACTTTTTATAAATTGTTCTACTATTTTTTAAATATTTTTAATGTATGATTGTATGTTCAAAAACTTTAGCAGAAAATAAATTTTTACTTATGAAATTGTATTGAAATTCAATATTAATATTTTGAAAAGTATTATTGATATTTTGTGATTTTTAATACAACTAACTTGCATTTATCATAGATTATACACAATAATCTACCATATAATTATGGTTTATAATATTTTATTTCTATGCAGAGCGTTTTATTTATTATGAACCACATAATTTATCGAAAAAAATGAAAACATTTTGATAATTTTTATATGGTTTCTTTTAGTTGCATGTTTTTCTACATTTATCAATCATGAAATATTTTTTATGTTCGTCTCTTATACCTTATAAGTGTGTCAACTTTATTTTTCAAATGGCAATATCATATTTAACTAGCTTAAAAAATAGAAAATGATCAAATTAAAAAAACTCGCTGATAACATTTTTAACTCATTATTTCAGAAGTTATTACTATTTTTAAATATAGTGTGTATTCGAGGTGTTGATTATGTTATTTTTATCACTTGTCATTTTCTTGTATTCTTTTCTTGTCAATTTATAAAAATTTTGACAACTTCCAAAATATTAGTCCAAATGTTGCTATTGACCTAGTTAAATATGTATGTTGCTAATTGAAAAAATAAAGTTAACATCACTTAAGAGATGACCTTAATAAATACTTCATGATTGATAAGTGGAGAATACATGAAACTAAAAGAAATCATAAAAAATTATCAATTTTTAGCTTTGATGCAAAGCTGAGAAGATATTAGTTTTACTATAATATGTTTTATTTTTATTTTTTTTGTGTCTCTTACCATATTTTCCAGCTCTCACCAAACCAATTTCTTTCAACAATACGTTAAAAGATCACAAATTGTATCTAGTCGAAGACATTATCATCAAAAATTGAAAAAATTTCCCTCGTTCCCCGTAAATGGGGGAAATCTCCAAAAAAATTACAAATTTAAAAATCGTTAATTTTCGAAATTTTTTCAATTTTTTTACTAAAAACTGCCATAACTTTTTCAAAAATGAACAAATCAATATAATTTTTTTTTATATAGATGCTTGATGTCTTTACCTATCATTTGGTATATTTTTTTTATAAATTTAATCCTTTACCAGCCCACAGGGGGGATTCAAAATGACAACTTTTTCACAAAAAATTAACTTTTGAAAGTGTTTCGGAAACTCTTTTATATATCTTAAATTAAAGCTAATGTAATATATTTTATCATGGAAAAAAAAAATTTCGGATTTTATTTTGTCTTCACGGTGAAAATAGTTACCAAATGCTATATTTGTGTGAAAATTCTGGATTTTATATTTTACATTTTAAACTTTATTATGCTATAACTTATTGAAAAGTGTATGAATCAATACAATTTTTTTAAGAGAAATAATATTTATATCCCTGTTTCATTCGCCATACTTTATCTTAATCAGGATATAAATAAGGAAATAGAAGTTAGATCATGTAGCTTTAGGAATAATCCACCAATTTTTTAAAATTAAACACTGTCTAAAAATTTGCATTGAAGCGTTTTTTATGATAGTAATTTTAATCACTGTCAGATATCATTATACTTGACCCAACTATGCCACATCACCACTGAGCCGGGTTTTTTTTTCAATTAATTATGTGGTTTATGTTAAGTAAATCATTCTTTATATCTTTCTCTCTTGTAAAGGATTTTGATTCATTGAAATATTGTTTTTAAATTAGGTTGCCTATAAAAGTTATTATTATTTTTTATATTATTTATATCAGAAAACTTTTTTTATAATTTTTGGTAGTATAACTTAAACGTATCTATAACTTAGTATATTATGAAATTTTATACATTACTGTATATTAAATTAAATATTTCCCTAATTTTAAATTGTACTGGTGTAGTAATAAATTAATATTCTTCAAAATAATAAAAATTATTTTTATTTTATATTTAATAAAAATTTATTATGATATTTATGTGATATCCTATATTATGATTATGTTCAAAACATTTAATCATTAGAAATTTAACACTTAGTAAACAATAAATAAATGGCTAAAAATAATAGTTATAAAGACACTAAATATTTCAGACAATTGATTCAACTTTTGCACAATACTACATATAAAAATTATTAGTTCTGAATATTATTCATTATTCTTCATTTAAGTTTTATTTTAACAGTTATGTAGATTTAACTGAGTGTCAATACATGTGGCCATACTGCACTCAGCCCTTGTATCTAACTGGAATACCAATAATTGTCAATGTGACAGTACTTAATGGTCTAGCAGTGTTTGGTAGAATCAATGATCCTCCAGTTTGGCATCCATATATTCCAGATAATGGTCATTACTTAGATATTTCAATTCGTTATTCTCAAATTTTGTGGCCATGGTCAGGTTGGATGGCTATTTATATATCAATATCCCATAAAACACCTATAAATTACAGTGGTACTGCTGCTGGTCACATTGAGCTCACAGTTGAATCTCCAAATACTGGTTCCAACTATTCAGTAACATTATCTTTGAGAGTAGCTATAATACCTACACCACCCAGTGTAAGAAGAATACTATGGGATCAATATCATAATTTGAGATATCCACCTGGCTATTTTCCTAGAGATAATTTAAATGTAAAAAATGATCCACTTGATTGGAATGCTGACCATGTTCATACAAATTTTAAGGCAAGTATATTTAAGAATCTAATAGTAATATTTTTAAAATGTTTGTTTTATTATAGGGTCTTTATCAACATCTTCGAAGTTTTGGATATTATGTAGAAGTTTTGGGAGAACCTTATACTTGCTTTAATGCAACAAATTATGGTGTATTATTAGTTGTAGATCCCGAAGAAGAGTTTTTTAAGGAAGAAATAGTTAAAATCCAAAGTGATGTGGCTAATTATAATCTATCTATTATCATTTTTGCTGATTGGTATAATGTTTCTGTTATGAAAAAAGTAATTTAATTTTTAATTTATACATTAGTTTTCAATAAAAATATATATTTATATATTCTTATTATCAAGATAAAATTTTTTGATGAGAACACAAAACAATGGTGGATGCCTGTTACTGGTGGTGCAAATATACCAGCACTTAATGATTTGTTAGCCCCATTCAATATTTCATTTGGATCAAATGTTTATAATGGAGAATTTTACATGGGTGATCGGAAAGTACATTATTCTTCTGGTACTCATTTGGTTTCTTTTCCTAGTACAGGTGTTGTTATAGCGAAAACATTAAAAAATCAAGGTTAGCTATCTTTAAATTTATATTAAAAAACTCAACAACAAGATATTTTAATATGTATTATGGAATTTTTATCATCATAGGTGAAGAAATTTTGGAAGGTGACATAACTAGACAAGAAATGAAAGTTCCAATATTAGGTTTCTATAAAACAACAGGTCATATAGTTGTCTATGGTGATTCAAATTGTCTTGATAATAGTCATTTGGAAATAGGTAATAATTTTTATTTTTTTAAGAATTTTTGTAACTGCTGATTAAATTAAACATTAGATTGTTATTGGATGTTGGATGCTATCATGGAATATATCACTACTGATAAATTAGCACAAGTTTTTTTAGAAGATAACTATAAAATAAATAACAATAAGTCATTACATTTTATACCTGAACGATACAAAAAAAGTGATCTACACAAGTAAGATTAAAATTTATCAAATTTTATAGTTCTGTTAATTATATATTGTGAAATTATTTTTAGGCATTCTAAAGTAATTAATAAAACTGATTCAGAAATTATTTATCTACCTCTTCCTTCTTGTATTGTATTAAAACCATCAAAAACATTACCATTAAATCAATCAGCAACAAGGTTTAATTTAAGCTAAAGAATTAATAATTATAAATATTATACAATTTTTTTCTTAAGTTAACTTTTTATTTTTAGTAATGATTACAAACAACAAAAATTAAAATCTACTATTACTAATGAAGCAGAGAATGATGCAGATTGGTTGAAATCACTTATTTTGAATTCTCAAAATGTGTCTGAGGACGTAGTATATTTCAATGAATTTTTTAAAGGATTATTTTTACCATTAGTTTTTTTAGGTTTAGTTTTGTCAGTTGTAGCCATTTTTGTTATATGGAAATATTACTGTTGGCGAGCTAAAGCTAAGCAAGGTTTAATAGCTCTTGGCAAAAAGAAAACTGTTGGAAGTATAAAAAAGAGTTTTATGTATGTCCTTAAACAAAATAGTAGATTACAATCTGCTAGTGGATATAATTTGTGACAATATAGATAATATTTGATAATTATATTTTATTTTTTATATTCTTGCATTTATAATTTAAATTAATATTTTAATATTGTTTTATATTTTCACTATATTTAGTTAACTTATTTTCTTACTTTATTATAAAGAAAAAACAGGGTTATTGTTAAAATTATTATTTTTTTAATTTAGCTAATGAAAAATGAATACTTCAAGTCTTTGTATTAAAATAATATTTATCTAAATCTTATAGCCACTTTAAGTATTAAGCAAATTAATTATTTAATTGATAGTATGATTTATATTTTGTATTATGTTATGTGACAAAAATAATGAATACTAAATAATTATACAAATTTATTGCTAATAGTTAGAAAATAGTGGTATGTACAATAAATTCATAAGATATTGTACTGAATTACTTAGTTTTTTTAAAACCTTTTTTTATTATTAAATAGAATAAATTATAATACATATTTTATTTTGTCTCAAAAATTATTACTAAAATTTATTCAAAACAAAATTGGATAAAAATAACTTTTGATCCGTTCAAAATTTTTATTTGCTAAGCTTTGAAGTATTGTAGTAAGTGTCATAACTTACTAATAAGCATCCAATAAAAAAAAAAGTATTAATTCATAGAAACATTATATTTTACAAAAATAACATATAGAAGACAAAAAGGATTTAATTTTTAACATTTTATAAACATATATTATATAAGACGATCAATAATAAAATAATAATATTTATAAACAGGAATTATAAATATACAGAAAAAAATAATTTGAACAATTTAACTGCAGAAATAATTTTGGGCAATTAAGATTTTGGTGGCCATGGCATGCAATTTTTGATATAACCTCATATCAGCTTATAAAACCATTTTGACAGTATCAGACATTGAATTTAGAATTAATGCAAGTCACTAAATACTAATATAAAAAAGATAAATATATTATAATTTGGCATAATTATAACATCACAGCCAATAAAAAAAGTGTTCATATTTAAATGGTAACAAATAAATCATTCTTAATCACATTATAAAATACTTAAGTAATTTTGCTGTTAACAAATCGGAGTAAATTAATTTTGACATTCACTATTCATCATTGGTATTGTAAAGTCTGTCATATTAGGAAGAACTATGATCTTCTAAAATAAAAATATAGTTATTTAATAAAATAATAATAAATAAAGAGTAAATTAGTTACATACTTCAAATTCTTTAATAAGTACATTGTGTAGCCATTTTGTTAAAAAATCAATAAGAGGAACATTAGTATCATTAACTTTCGGTTTTGCTTCAAAATTAATTTGTGGACATCCTTTAAAGGAAATCCTATAACAAAACAAATTTTCAAAAATTAAAAATAACTGAAGAAAAATTCATTATGACCTAATTCCTAAATTTTATATGATAAGTATATTTTGTTATGTTTCAGTAATTATCATATCCAAATGTAACAATTATATATTTTTTATGTCTTAAAACTAAACAAACATGAAAATTAGTGTCATTATAATGAAATAAAATATAAATCTGGTACGATTTTTAAATAATACCAAACATATACCTAATATAATTGTATATTAATTTACCATATTCTATCAGAAGGTGGTGGAGGTATATTAACAATGAGAGTTCCTATTAACTGTTTGACATCAATTACAAGTGTTAGTTCTTTTTTAGCTACATTTTCTAGAACTCTTTTAACATATTTTAATTCAAAAAGACTGGATGACATGTTTTCAACAAATCTTGTAATACGGCTTCCCTGAAGAGGAGGAGGTTCATTTAAAGCTTGTTGCTCAAATAGTCTTTGAGCAAAATTCACATCTTCTCGTGCTTGACCTTCATCGTTTGACGTTTCACCGCTATCTTCTTGATTTGAGTCATAAAATGCACTTCTCCTTAAATGTATGTATTTGATTAAATTTTAAAGTAAGTTTTAAATATAAATTGATTACTACATTTCTTCTTTTGGTTGTTGAGTTTCTTCTTTTTTTAATTTCATTAAATTTAGTTTAGTATCAACTGAAGCTTGAAAAGTACCATTATACACAACTCCCAATTCAAACCACAATCCCCTATGATCTACCCAAGGTGTAGATGCACATCTTATTGTTGGAATTTCTCCTTTGCCAAAACACAAACTACGAATGACTATCATGTCCATAACTTTTGGTAGCTAAAACCAAAAATAGTTTACCTAATATATACATAAAAAAATTTACATAAAATTTTTAATTTTACCCTAATGGCATTTAATTTTTTTTGGAATCTATCAGTAACCAACTCGAGCACTTTTGGATTTTGTAAATAATCAAAACATATACGTCCAAGAAGCATATTTAGCCATAAGAATAATTGTTCTTGTGATATATCATTTATTTGATAACTAGATATTTTCTAGAAAAAAAAATTATTTTAAAATGTAAGTAAATAATGAATTTTTGATAAAGAATAGTTATAAAAGTTTTTTATTAAGTTTCTTGTAAGAACTTTTATTACTATGTTCTTACCACTTATATTATATATGCGTTTTATTTTCATTTACTTAATTTGTAATACATATTAATTAGCAGAGAGGGAGATAATGATATGATAATTCCACTCGTCTGTAGCCCGGAGCTACTGATGCCGAACTAACAAAGGGCATTTGTGTTTGAGTGGTCGTTATAGACAGTTTTCAATGCTATTACTATTGTAATATATTATATTTATTTATATTATTAATAACTTAACTTACAAAAAATTATATCTCAAAACTAGTAAAAATCTAGTCAATAATAATTTTAATTCATTCATCATATAAATAAAAAAAATAATTATAGATTACTATTTAACTTTTAAACGTTACCCTTTAAAAATATCCTAAGCAAAAAATTATTTTTTTTTTTTTATAAAAAAATTGTAATCATTAAGGTTTATAGATAAATTTACTATTATTCAGTTCACTTTTAAATAGCAGAGCCGCTCATGACTGAATATCACACCCAACAGTATAAAGCAAGCACTACTGTGTTACCTACTCTGCCACACTAACTCTCTATAATACTTAAGAGGGTCTATGAAATATACTAATTAATTATATCATTTTTAATACACTAATACATTATTTTTATATAATATAAATTTTACCCTTCACCTCTTTTTCAACTGATATTGGTGTATTTGAAAGTTCATGAACATTATGGATGTATGCTAAGTAAGCTTTTAGCAACTTAAAACGCCCTTCAGTTTTTTTCTTATAAAAAATTTCATTTGATGCATTGAAAGCAACAGCTAAGCTTAAACGATGATACCAAAGTTCTTTTTCTGGGTCATTTCTAGCAAATAAATATATTTTATCTGAATCAGTTTTCCATACACCGTCTACATCACTTTCTTCTTCTAGATTGATACTTTTTTCAGAGATTTTATGAGTTATTTGTTCAAGCTCACATATTTTTTGATCTTTAGTAGAACCTAACTGTACAATCCATTAATATGAAAAAAATACATTAAATTACATCTATCAAGCATTTGAAGAAGCAATTAGATAAATAAATAAAATTATATATTGGATATATTCAATAATAAGTACTATTCAAATTACTTTAAATAGGAAACTTAAATGAACAAAAAGTTTAACAAAAATTAAGACTACATAGAGAAAATTTTTTATAATTCTGATCATTTTAGCTTTTGAATCGACTAAATTAAAAAAAGATAAAGTTTATAAAACTAGAAATTATTTATTAAAGATATTTTCAAATTTGAGTAATAATCCAATTAGACAGCATTCTCTTAAACACAGATATAATATATAAAAATATTTTAATTATTTTTGATCACAGAATTTAATATCTAAAATATTATTATTTCATTTTAAACCACCTATATCAATATAATATTTGCTTACTTCAGTTTTAATGCTTTTTTTATCATTTTCAGAATAAAAGATTCCATCTTTAAAATCATAGTCATCCATTATATCTATGACTTCACCTTCAATCATTTCTTTGTAAAAGTTTTCTGTAATGAAATTTTAAGAATTATATTTAAACATAGAATTAATCTAGTTGTTTATATCTTGATTTAGTTTTAAATATATTTAAATAATATAATAACCACTGAAGTATCAATAAATAATTTAGAGAATTGGATTTATGTGATTATCAATTTAATATTGTATCAATCAACTTATACATAAATTATATATTTAGGAACATAAAAAATCTATTGTTTACCAGCTTGTTTTGATGGAGTAATATAATCTTTATTATACCATTCATCTGTATCTTTAATAAATCGTTTAGACTTTGTACTACGACGAACACCAATTAATGAATCTGCATGTAGCTCAATACATATTGGATATTTTTTACTCCATTTTCTAAAATAAATAGAATTAAAAGTAAAATAAAACTAAGGAAATATCAGTAATTTACCTTTTATTTACTAAATTTTGAGGTAATAATACTATGTTACACCTAGTTAAATCATACATGCATTCTTTTACAAACAACAATTTCGGTTTTCTTTCATTGTATAAAGACCTTTTGGGAACTTTATAATATGGATAAGACATAATTAAGATTGATCCTTTGAGTTTAACGTATGCAGATATTGTAAGTGAAAGCCGATAAGTCTCTGGGCGGTATTCATACAAAAACTGATTCATCCAACCCTGTAACATTATATTATAGACAATTGTCTTAAATAAACCTTTTGTAAATAAAAAGGAATAAATAGTTTTCCTTACTTTGTATAGCATCAAATGTGGATTCATATGAAATAATGCTTGTACTGTTTTTAAAATAGTAGGTTCATTATCTGTTGAATTGTTTATATTTTGTAAATTTTGTTTGTTTTGATACTCTTCCATAACCATCAATTCCAATAAATATCTAAATTTGAATGTAATAAATCCACCTAACATAAATGTGTTCTAAAATTTTATAATGAAATCAAACACACATGGAAAGATTGAAAAAGTTAATTTTATCTAATAAAAAACTTACTAAATAGAATGGTAAAAGTTTGAAACTTGAATAACAAGTAATTATTCCTAAAAGTAAAAACAAACAAAATTGTATTCTGTTTCTTGTTAAGAAAGCTTCTGAATCTATTTCCAAAAGACTTTGTATAGATTTTGTTGTAGTAATATTTATATCTTCTAATGCATCTTTTGCAGTTTCAACATCTTCGAACTGCTCTATTTGTGTAATAACTTTTGTACCTCTATGACGAATAGTATACCAATTAGTGTCAGAAATATCTGAACTTAATTGATCGGTGTCTTTTTGAATTTCTTCAAACCTGAAAGATATAATATACAAAAAGTTAGTATTTTGGCTAATTTCTTAAATTTTCCTGTTTGTTATATGTTTTTATAGAACTTTCATCTCAATATTTTAATCAATTTTCACAAAATTTTTAAAAAATGTACTCGTACTATGTTAAAAATGCTTTTATTAACAAAACGGATTCAAAGATAAAATTAGCTATTTAAAGTTTGTGTTATTATTTATTTTATAAGTAAAACTTTAATAAATGTATAGCTTAAAAAATAATTTAGAACTTTGAAGGATAATAAAGTGACACTTTCAAAACAATTAATATAATAAAAATACAGAGTAGACCAAAAGTCCATTTAATTTTGATTCCGTAGCTACGACGAGCAATAATGGCGGGGTGGAGCAGAGGGGTTATGAAGTGCAAGAGCGTTCATGCTACAGAATTTTTTTTCTGGCAGCGCTACAGGATTTTGATAGTTTTAATCAATGATCGTGGTTTTAGCAAGATGGGGCAACATGCCACATTTCCAACAACTCATTAAGAGCTGTTTGCGAAATTTTTAGACAAAAAGTGATATCCAAAAAAGGTGCCATTAACTGGCCACCTCATAGTCTTATCATCAATGGACCCCTTTCTTTGGGGATACCTCAAAAATAAATTTTTCAACAGTAACCCAGTGTCCCTAGAGGAATTAAAGGAAAATAATCAAGAGAAAATGCAAAACATTTCACAAAACACTTGTGAGACCGTCATTGAAAATTTCCGCTCCAGATTGCAGCAATGTCGAAATAGTCAAGAATCACATATGGATGATGAAATTTTTAAAAAATAAAATCCCTATTTGTGTACTTTTGGTCCACCTGTACAACTTATTATTATTGTATTGTATAATAATTCAATTAAAATCCTATGTTAAAGAATTGGGTTTAATATTGAAGAATACGGTTCACTTTGTAAAATAACTTGTTTTCATTAAATGTTAAATTAAAGATATAATGCTTTCAAATTCATCTTAATAAACAAATGTTGTTATAACTGAACACAGGCTTTTCTAAACATCTAAAATTTTTAAATTCATTTTGGAAGTTTTATAGTTTTTAGCCTATTCTTATTGTTAATCATTTCATTATTATAATATAATAATACTTGCTAAACAAATAATCATAAAAATAAGATATTTCATTATTAAAAATAAAAGAAAATTTAGTTTCAAGTAATTACTTTGATAACTTATTATGATTAAATATTTCGTTTTTCCAGAGATCTTCTTGTATATCTGATAGATAGCTATCTAATCGTTTGATAGTTGTATCACAAGGAGATTGTTCTGCATCAGAACTAGAAGAACGTTTCAAACCAAAGAGACCTAAGCTATGAGTGCTACTTGATGGTTGTTCTGGAGTTTTTAAATTATTTTCAATTAACCCTGTAAAATAAAAAATCGATCAAAATTTAAAAAAATTTTAGTGATTTGTTAAAAACTATATAGTACCTGCATGTTGTGCTAAATGAGGTGTGGTACATAAACCTTCCACTTCCTCGTCTTCAGCATTAAAACGCACAGAAAAAGACATTATTCTTAAAAAAAAAGTTGTCAATAAATCAGAAGAAATAATTAATAAAATTATTATATTGATGGTCTGAACCACCTTTTAAAAAACCAAGTTCCATACTTTTATAAAAATATTATGATTTTTCGTTCCTTTTGATAAGAATATTTCTTATATTTTCCCTAAACTATAACAATAATACAACTGTTTTTAAGTATTTCCCAATACAATCACAATGCATTTCTTCGAGAGTTTTTATCTCAAATAATGATTATCTTATTTTTTTTAATTCAAATTTTAACTAATTAATTAAGGAAATCATAAAAGTAAGTTGTAACTTGTAGTCTAATCCTTTAGATATTTAAGTATCGTACATTATTATTATAACACTTGAATTAAAATAATTTTTATAATTACTACTTTTGGATAATAAAAATGTTTACTTTTTATTATTTTGTACTATCGATTGTTATTGTTATCAAAAAATGTTATCATTGATGTCAACAAACTTTGTCAAATAAGGAATAATAATTCATTAGCATTGACTGATTTTTTTTTTTAGTTATAATATTTTTATTTTACATTGAATTAAAAAAAGTTCCAAGTTGTCACTGGTAACCTTTTTATAAACTCTTAATGGTCTGTCAATCGAAAACATTAGATAATTTGGGTAGTAAGTAATTCTATTCAATACTTTGAAGTTAACTAAAAATTAATCAATCATTTTGATTGTTTTTGTTCGTTATTTTTGTGGATAGAATCTATACATGAATTTTCACAAAGATAATGAGTATGTTAACAGTAATGTCACTTATATTATTGTCTGACAGTTATAATGAATAAAGTATCAAATATGAGTTTGTAAATATATGTAAACTACTACAAAATTAATATGTCTATTTTGCCAGAAGTAAGATAATTTTTAATGATATAAATAGTTAATTAGAAATTTTAACTAGTCTGCAAATGTATTTATTTTTAATATTTAGAAAGAGCCTTTAAAATTTGATTTAAACCTTAGTGGAGCCCCAGAAGAGATTATTCATTTGGTTGACAGCATAAAAAATGTAAGTAGTCATTAATCATTTTCCATAAATAATTGAAAATATATGAAAAAATCTATATAGGTAGGACAACAATTTTTATATCACTGGAAAACATTTCCTATTGTTTTACCTCCTACAGCTATTGCAACAATTGAAACGGAAAATGATTCAACTCATCAATCTGGTAACATTTTATTCAACCTGCTAATAATTCTTAAATAATAATAAAACTAAATTTGTATTAAGGACCAGAATCTTATTGCACAATTTCCAAATGTAGTTATTCCGCTTATCGTACTATTAATTGTCGTGACTTATTTATACCTCCATCATTTGATGAGCTAGATGCAGTAGCAGTTAATAATAAAGGAGATATTAAACATTTAAATTCTAAGCAATTGGAATCATTACGAGAAAGAGGGTAAGTTTAATGTTTTTCTAGTTATATCATCTATAGAAAGTAAAAATATTTGTTATTATTAAGTCTGGACAAGGATATTCATGGAAAACCAAAGAAATTAAACTCAAAACAATTGGAATGTATACGTAAATTAGGGTATGTTAAGATAGGTGAACATTATGCTTTGTGTTTTGTTCATAGATATAAAAGTTATTTATTGTTTTGTATAGCTATTGTTTTATTACCATTTTGAACTAATAAATATTTTATGCTTTGTTTGTAAGATTATTTATTTTAGTTAATTCTTAAATAATTATATTTTTCAAAATAAAATGTTATTTCTATTTTTAAAGAGACTTTTTTGTTTATACAGTGAATTTGAGGTACCAAGTATCAATTTTATTGGCCAAATACACAAGTGGAGATTAACCGAATGGTTACAAAAGGGTACAGAAAGAAATCGTGAAAGTCTTCTTGATGATTTAGCTTTAGCATTACGGTTTTTATTAGTAACAGCTAAAGCAAGACTAAGTTCACATTTTTTTAGTGTTACAGAATCTCTAAAAGCCACTTTAAATGGTATCATAAAATTATTAGGTAATAGTACAAATTTATTAAATTTTCTATCAAATATATACATAATAATTTTGTTATTAGTTACATAATATGTAACTAATAACACAACAGGTTTGATTTATATAAAAAAAATATATAATTGACTTTTTATTAAGTGTAAGGGATAAACATAAAAAGTATTTTATAACATATAAAGAATAACATATGTGCAACCAACAAAAGTGAAAAAAAAAATTTATAAAAAAATTATTATTTTAAGAGTATTGAATATTAAAAGAACCACTCTGTAGATATCTTTAATATTCATAAGGTATTCTCAACTTTTAGATATTATGTTTGGTGTACCTTCTCTTCAAGCTCATAATTTAGCTGAAAAATTGAGAGAAGAGCGCTGTAGGTATCTAGTTGCCGAACTCATTTGTCGAGTAAGAAAAAAAAATATTTTAAAATTAAAAAATATTTAACTCAATATGTCACATAAACTAAATATTACATAGTTTTATTTTGGAAACAATGTGAAAATAATCAGCACTGATACATATTGATATGCGCAACTAATAAAGCAGTAACTCACTTTTCAGGATATCGAAAATAAAAATTACTCTGATTGCACTCTATATATTCATCAATTTTCTTAATAGTTAAATTCCAAATCAATCCAAAATGTCAATATTTTGATGAAAGTTATTGTAAGAAGAGTAAAACCTAAATTCAAATACCTCATAAATTCAAAATAGATTTTTTTAAGTTACTGCTTTATTCATTGCGCATAGAAATATATGCATTTTTGAGAAATTTTGTGACTTTTTAAGTCAAGTATTTTTTAATTTTAAATTAATATTTAAAATTAATTTTATAATAATAAATAATATTAGCTACAAGTGATCAATTATTTTTACATAAGAAAAAAAGTTTTATTATCTTTATTGATTAATAATAAAAAAATTTGTTCAGCCTGAACAAGAAGATGCCTTAGATCACCTAATAAATTTTATCCGAAAACAATTGCGGCGAGCAGCTACTGAAAAATTTGAACCATCAAAAGAAGTAATATGCCCAAAGACAGCAATTCCATATCAGTTTTTTACGCCTAAAGTAATATTTTTCAGTTTTATTTAAGTATAAATAGTTTATATATTTCCTTATTCACAGCGAGAAGAAATTGACTTGAGTCTTTTTAATCGAGATATAATGAAAAAAGGATTGCCTATATTGATGACATTATTAGAACGGGAAACTCGTGGCTGGTTTTTACATTTTCGTGAAAAACTTATATATGAATATAAAGCTCAAAAATTAAGTGATGAAGATGTTGAAAAAGTAAAATATTTTGTTATAATATTTATTTTTACATATTTACTTTTATAAAACAAATAATATTTAATAAAGTTATCAGTAAAATATTGATTCATTTAAAAAAGTTTTTTTATTTTGTATTAAGTGAAGCTAATAAAATTAACTGTACTGAATACTATATCTGTGATAGAACCAAAATTTTTTTAGGGGAATTTTAGTAGTTTTTTTAATGTTTTGCCTTAAAAACAAGATATAGAGAGCCCTTTTAAATTTTTTGTTCTAAAGAAAAGCTTTTTATTTATTTTAGAAAATGGCATTGGTTGCATTTGCCTTTGCATTCACCTTGCTTCATAGTCTGATACACAGTGAGCTTTCATTTTTTTGGTTGCTTTTAGAACCTCTAAAATTATCATGTAAACCTTAATTTGTTTTCTACTTGAAATAGTTTAATTATGATTTTATCAATTATTTTAAATATAAATCATAAAAATTAGAAATTTTTGATAGTATTATATTTATATAGTTGTGATCAAAATTATCTAAAACAATAAAAGTATATCATTTAATTGTCACAGTATAATAATATTTTATTGTTTTTAGGCCGTTAATGAAGCAGTGATGAAAGAATATTTAGAACGTGTTTATAAGAGTATCATGAATAATGATGAATTAAAAATGTTGGGCAATAACATTCCAAAACTTTTAATAAATCAAGCACAGTGTGTTGTTTTAATGCACAGGTAAGACAGTTCAAGTAAAACTTTTTACTATAATATTTGATAAGTATTATACCATATTATTTTATTTATACTTATAAATATAAATAACATATATTTGAAATAATCAAATTTAATTTTATGACAATAATTTCAATTATGTGGCCAATAAAAATATAAATTATGCAAAAATGTTTTGTGAAGTAATATTTCTATGGTACAGTAAATACAGGTCAACACTCACCAGTTAGGTTAGCAATAGCCTACTAAGTAAATAATTCTATTTTTATTTTTGTACTTAAATTATTATTTAAATGTATTATAATTTTGGTAAAATTTTAAAAAATATAACAAAAACTCAGTGTATTAGTTCCAAATCAGACCAATAAATTGATATTTATTTAATTCATCATCAAATAATTATTATTTTTATCACTTCTATTTCATATGTATTGTTGTATATCATCAAAGCTAAAAATATGAGAGGGAGGTAAAAAATTTATTTTTGCCAATTAAATAATTTTTTTTTAATTCACTTTTTAGTAATTATCTGACTAAAGCAATAATATTTTGTCAAGTAGAGAGATGTGATACCCCATAGGTCCCCTTTTTGAGATGACTGTATACCATATTATGTCTGTGTTGAGAATTGTTTTAGCTTCGATGCGAAGCTGAGAAGGTATTGGTTTTACTAAGATGTGTTTTTTTTTTTTTTTTTGTCTGTTACCACTTTTTCTCAGCTCTCACCGAACCGATTTCTTTCAATGATACGTCAAAAGATCACAAATTGTATCTAGTCGAAGACATTACCCTCAAAAATTGAAAAAAATTCCCTCGTTCCCCGTAAATGGGGGAAACCTCCAAAAAAATTACGAATTTAAAAATCGCTAATTTTCGAAATTTTTTCAATTTTTTTTACTTAAAAGTGCCATAACTTTTTCAAAAATAAACATATCAATATAATCCTTTTTTATATAGATGCATAATATCATTACCTTTCATTTGGTATATTTTTTTCATAAATTTAACCCTTAACCTGCCCACAAGGGGGGATTTAAAATGACAACTTTTTCACAAAAAATTAATTTTTTTAACTTAAATTTTGAAAATGTTCCGGAAGGTCTGACACTTTTATATATATCTTAAATTAAAGCTAACGTACTGTTCTTTATTATGCAAAAAAAAATTTCGGACTTTATTTTATCTTCAGGGTGAAAATGGCTACCGAATGCTATTATTGTGTGAAAATTCTCGATTTTATTTTTTACATTTTTAACTTTATAATGCTATGACTTTTTGAAAAATGTATGGATCAACATTATTTTTTTATGAGAAATAATATTTTTTAATAATCCCTTTTTCATTCGACATACTTTATCTTAATTAGGATATTAATAATGAACTAGCAGATCATGTAGCTTTTGGAATAATCCACCAATTTTTTAAAATTAAACACTATCTAAAGATTTGCATCGAAGTGTTTTTTTTTGATAGTGATTTTAATCACTGTCAGATATCATTATATTTGATCCATCTATGCCACGTCACCACTGTGCCGCGACCCCCCTGTGCTGGGTTTTTTTTTTTTTAGTAATCAACACTAAGATTGGTTTTACAGTACTTTCTCATACTCCCTCCACTCTTCTCTTTTATTGACCATTCTCTACAGCTTACTGTTTGTTCTTAGTTTGGTATCTTTAACCCTTCATTAGGTAGGTGAAAAAATGTTACGTTAATAGATACCATGGGTCTGATAGACCCATATAATTAAATCGATTTTACTCTTGTATGGTAAAACTTTATTTCTTAAAATGTGAATAGCAATTACATAGACATACTTAGAAATATATTTTAACAATTACAAAACAAAAAAAGAAAATATTTAGGTCTGATAGACCCGACCTACCTAATGAAGGGTTAATGACTATTGATTACCATTAGTCTAGGATGTCCTCTGCTTATGTTGTATTCTATTTGTCCTTCCAATATTCTGTGATTTAGTTGCCTTGTGGCTTAAAGTATGTCTAATTAGTTTTCATCTTCTTTCTTTGATTGATTTTAATAATCCTCCAGGTTTTCCTATTTCATTTAGGATACTATCATTGGTACGGAACTCCATCCAACTAACTCTTAGTAACCTCCTCCAACACCATAATTCCAAGCTTTCTAAATATCTTTCTTGTAATTTGTTTATCACTAAAGATTGGTTTGTATAAAGCTATTTTTCACACAAAAACTTAGCTTAATCATTTACTCATATGGATACTTACCTTTTTGGAGCATTTCTCACTTAAATTTGGAGTCTGTGTCTTTATTGTGTTTTCAAGCATACTACAACATAGTTAAGATTTTTAGTAAATGATTAATTATGATTATCAAATCAAAGATTTTTCTGTACATAATTTTTTTTAAAATTTTTTTTAGGGCAGTGGAAAATGTACAAAGAAAAATAATCAAACAAAAAAATACATTAAATCAACGAATGCAATATACATATCCTGTTTTATCACGCATTGGACCATGGATTAGAGAAAAACAAAGAGTTGCTGAGGTAAATACAGTATGAATGATTATACTTTACATTAGGGTGGGAAGCTATAAATCATATGCCGCTTATTTTGGCACTTTTAACTAAGAATGAGTGAACTGTATAGATGAGGATCTTCTGCTCACAGACTTATTTAAAGCTGAAGATGTCGCCTAGAGGAAACAAAAGTGTGTGTGAGATAAGTAGCAAAGATAAAACTTAAAACTATTAATAAAAAATGACTAGATGCAGTTATCACAGACGTGTGTTAAACTAACAATTATAATAATAAAAAATAAATAGTAAATAAATAATTCAATTGCTCCTTTGGCACAATAATAATAATTAAATTTTCACTAACACAATATATAAAATAAATAAACTTAACAAAAATAAGAATATTAAAAATTTAACAATAACTCTACAGAATTATTGTTTCTTCATTGTTAGTTTATAAACTCAAAACAAGATGCTTTATTACTATACTTTAGGCATAACTTTTGATAAAGTCATAATTAATATGTATAAATGCTATGTATTTAAGAATAACATTTTAAAAAAGTAATTAGCTACCTGTATTTGTAATTCCTTGTGTATTATACATGTATATAAACTCAAAAGTTTATCTAATAAATTAATGAAGTTATGTTAAAAATTCAAATGCCATTTACAATTAAAATAATAACTCAAAATATGTGCTCCCATTTGAAAAAGCAAAGTTAACCCCCTTATAAGTCATAACCCATGAGCTTAAAAAATATAACAAAGGTAAAAATTCAAGAATAATATGTAACTAGATGTAACCAAAAAAAATTTTTTCAATATTATTTTTATTCTGTTAATAAGTGGTTTATGATCAAAAAAATCACTCTGTGTACTCGTTTACATTAAATATAAAAATAATAAATAAATACACTCTCAATAATATTATATAAAATGGACCTCTTTTTTTTTTATAGTAAATATAAATGTATAAAATGACTTAATTAGTGTAATGTATAATGATAACTGTGTGATGACTAGAATAACTAAGGGAATAGACTAGACCATACACTTATGATGGTTAATCACTATTCATAAAGTCAAAACTCAAAATAAATATAAAATAAACTCATTATTCCCCAATATTATTAAACTAAATCTTAAGCTTAAAATAAATAAAAATTATAAATAAACTTACAGTACTGTTGCTGATTTGTGTATGCACTAGTCAGCTGCCCAACAACTAAAACTCAATTAAAACTAACTAATAAATAAATTGCACTAAAATGATTATTACTCAAATAAATAATACTAAAACTCTATAATATTAAAATAATAGAAACTATAATTTAAAAGATTTAATATAAAATTACATTACACATAAGAAAATCTCATGTTAAAATATATACTGACTAATATTTACAACAATTATATTTAACTTGTTTTACAAAAAGTGAGGAGAATTCGGTTGTAGTCTGACCATGTGAATCGAACTAAACACAGGTGATGGCTTTGCACATTAAGAGCAGCACATATTTAATTTGAGCCTTAACAGTTTAATATTCAAAATTATTAAAAATTATAGGAGAGATTTATTCAAGAATGTCAGTGGAGTGCTCATGAAGAAGCTTTAACACTCTGCAAAGAATATAAGTTACATCAGGCTGTTTATTTTTTACAGAGAGATTTAACTTTTATGAGAGAGGTTTGTTTTTGAAATTATGAATAAATATTAGTTTTTATTTATGGTATTATAAAATTTTAATATTACTCACATTAAAGAGAGAACCTGTGTTGGTGAAAGAACTTAAAAATGTAAAAATATCAACCAGAACTTTTTATTGGCTTACACAAATTTGGCGACCAAATAATTGGATTGTTAGAAGATCATTCCAAGGCCAATCTGAAATTATACCAACTGTGTTGAGTTCAACAGCAACAGCTATAACAACACCTCGTTCTAATCCTAGTCAAGTAAAAGTTTAATTTATAAGGATATTTTTTAAATAGTTTGAAAATTAATTAAGAAAATGTTTTTATGGTTAACTTTAGGCAGTTTTTTTATTAGAAAGAGAAACTACTAGAACTACATCTACAAGATGGCCTTTCTGGAGAGTTATTAGTTATTTTTTTAGAACTTGGACATGGACATGGAATGCAATGTTCTTTTTTGGTGTAAGTAAATAATACATAGTTTAATTAAATTTTAGTCACATAAAATGAGTACTAAATTACAATCTTTATTTGTACTTAATTTTTACAGATAATAATACCTTGGTGTAGTCCTGTTAGTTTACGCTCCTTATTTTGTTCTGAAGCATTTTTCCCTGATTTAGAGCTATCTCAAATTAATGGAACCTTATTTCCTAGAAAATCATCACTTACTTCAACACTTTTTTCAAGATTAAATTCATTATGGCGACATATTTCAAAGAGTAGAACTCATTTTGAAACTAAACCAGATACTGGTAAGATAAACAAATAATCAAAAAATACAGTTTTTTATATTTTACACTGTTTTTTTAAATTTTTATCTTTAGGATTTATTGGAAAAGGAATGACTAGACACATAAATCGTTTTTGGAACTACTTAATTAAAGGAATTATAGGCACATTATCTATGTTAATATTATTTCCAGTCATCTGTCTTTTGTGTAGCTTCGGTAGCTTAATTATTGCTTTATTGTGCCCATTATGGTAACATTTTTGACAAAATAACTTAATAAAGAGACTTATGACTCATCATTAATTTATTTACAGGATACCTATTATTACTCTATTAATTCATATATTTAATGGATTAATCTATGATTTAGACTGTCCTGCTGAGTGGAAAAATAGATATTTTGTCATACTAGAGGCTTTATTGTGGAATATAGTAATACAAGGTTTCATACAACCTGTTCTTGCTTGTACAATTGCCTTCATATTTTGTCCAATTGCTACATTTATTTTAATTATTGGTAATAATTAAAATTAATTTTTATTTCTTTAGGTTTCTATTTTTTTTTTTTAATTTTACAAAAACTATTTGTTTTTATTTATTAATAACTGAAAAAATAATTATTTTTTCATTGCAGGAGCTATTGTAAGGTATTGGTTTCGTATAGCTTGGGATAGTCTTATATTTCATCTTCTAATAAAGAAAAGAGGGAGGGTGCCAGCGTGTGATAGTTTTATAGTTAAACGTATTGCTGGACCTGGTATGGCTACTGATTATTTTTATCAAATTCAACCAGAACAAGCGTTGGCTGCATTAGAAGCTAAAATGGAACTAGATGAGTTAAATGCATTTCAACAACTTATGGAACAAAAAATTCATCAACCACAAAAGGATTTTGCTCAATTTGTTGAAGTTTGTTTTGGACCCTTCAGTGCACATTTAGCAAAAAATGGAGCTTATCGTGTTCTTGAAAAAGAATCTCAAGATCTGATGTCAACACTTCAAGATAAACTTGAAAGGCGTTTACGAGAATTACAGACTGGACTTTCAGCAAATTTACGATCAAAAATTAGGTTATCTTCAAATGATCTTAAAGTAAAATAAAAAAACTATTTTTTTCATTTAAAAAATTTTTTTTCCTAATAAAATGATTAAATTATACCATCAACTAAATTACTTTATAGGTAACAATTGCAATAGCATCAAAAATGTTAGAATTCTGGTACCCAAGACATGTAATTATAAAATTATCAATATGCGAAGAAGAATTTTGGGAATCCAAAGGATTGAGTGTTAATGATTGGTCATCACTTGCTATAGTGTTTTTAACTGATATTTTTAGTCTAGATTTTTTCACACCTTTAGATGATGCAGACACTAAATTTAAATTAAAAGTAAAATTTAGAATTTTTAATTATAAATTATTTACATTTTTATTCATCTTATATAATTCTATTTGATACACAGACTGATAATAATGTAGATCTATCTAGATTTACTAATATAATTCAGAATACTGTAATAAATGATCAAAATTCTGAAATTTTGGGTCCCTTATATTCATCAAGAGGCAATATTAAAATACAGTCTCCTTACCTAGATGTTACAGTATTCAATCCTCGCTCAAAAGTATTGCATCATAAATTTAAGAAATTAGATAATACTAGGTAAGTACTAGACCAGTTTCTATTAAGGTTAACTTTTATTAATCTAAAAATTATTATATTAAAGAAGCAGCTTTACTCGCACAATATTATTTGGTGGATGTTTTAAAAATGGATTTTTTAATTCTAAATTATACTCTAAAAATAATTCCATTAAATTAAATCTTCAAAATGCTACTCGACTTTGGAAGAAAAGTCATAAAATGTACATGGCTGATAAGTTATGCATACCGTTACTTATTCCTCATCCTGTTCATATTGCTCTTATAATTTACAATAGAGATACTGAAAATCCTATTTCTTTAGAATCTGACAATTGTAATTCTATTTTGAGGTAAGACTAATATTTTATTTTAATAAACTAATTTTAAATTAATTTTAATTTAAATTAATTTTAAAATAATTTATATAACTTTTGGCATAAAAAAAATCAAGGAAAAAAGTATAGTGTTCAGTTTTTATCATGAATATTATTTGTATAGAGCTTTGGAAGATCATTGTGTAGATCTTCTGTTTGCAGAATATATTCCTGCCAGTAATTTTGATAGTACAGAATCTCATAGTTCATTAACATCGGGAACTATTGAGCAAGAAGAACAAATAATTAATACTTATAACTGGCAACATGATGATTGGATGTTAAGAGCTGAACAAACAGGTGCAATACGTGTAGAATTAGCTTCACCAGAAGATATAAGTTTAGATTCTGAATCCACTCGAGTTGTTTTCGGTTCTTTGGGAACAACAGTATGACTGATTAGACTATATATCAATGAATTCATGACAAATGATCAATTAAAAAATTAATTTAATAATTGTTAAACACCAATTATTTATCAAAATATACTATTTGTTATTTAATTTTGAATAACCTAACTAGAAAATAATTTTATAGTAAAAACAACTCCTATTTTGTGCTTCATATTTTAACTTCTTATTAATATATTGTATGTTGTATTTTTTATGTGTATCCTCGCAATTTTACTATACACGCTGTTAACTTATTATACTCTAGTCATTAATATTTCAATATTAACTATTTTCATTATTAATTTCTTCTTTCTATTTCGACTCTAACTCCCGAGTATATAGAATGATTAAAAAAAAATAATTTTTGGTTGTACAATCTTTTATTGTATCATTCAAGCTCATATACAACTTTTATTGTATATGTCAAAAATTTTAATTATGGTTTTTTTTAAATCTTAAAAAAAAATGTTAGTTTATTTTTTTAATATATATTATTTACTATTTTATTTCTAAAATTGTATTAAATTTTTAAGTTTATTGTTAAAATTAGTTTATTTCAATATGATTTTTATTAAAATGTATATTTTTTAATTTTAACATAAGATAACAGTGTAAGATAAAAGTAATTTTATAATAATCTATCAGATTAATAGCCATAAAGGCTCAGCTTTTAGCTTTAACTTAATGTACCTTGATTTTTATGGTTGTGACCTATTACTATTTACATCAGATTACTTACTAATTATTATTATATTATTATTATAATAGACTGTCTAAAATTTATCAACTTGTATAAAAACCTATTTGTTGGTCTTTATATATATATTTTAAATTATTACAACTTAACTAGTTATCCAATTATTAATCTTTAATATTGGATGACTTCATAAAAAACAACACTACTTGTAGACTTAACAAATACATTATTTTAAATGTAATTTTTTTTTAATAACTTGTAAAATTTATTTCATGCACATAAAACTAAAAGCTATTTTTGAAAAAATAGCATATCTTTAATGCAATGTTGTGCTTTAAATAATATACTATTATGAAACAAATTTGTTGCAGTTTTGTTTGTTACCTATTTTTCAAGTATTATTAAATAATTCCCTAAAATTTTATCTTAAACTCATTTAATGTATTTTGAGAATAAATACTAGGTGAATCCAAGATGTCCAGATAAAAAAAATAACTTGATTTATTGTCTAATTTTTTCCTTATAATTGCTCCTCTTTAAATTAAAACTTTGTAACTATAAAAAAATAATTATTTATTTATAAAATTTTTAAGATTGTTTTTAAAATTTTAAATGTATATTCATCAAATTTGAAAAGTCATTCAGGAAAACGATATTTTAATATCAAAGCCAATCAAAATTTTATTATAATATAGAAATACTTGGCTATGTTTGGATATATTACATAACAAGAATGTTTGACTCATTTTTTGTTATAGATAGAAATTATTTTGCTATTGGGCTATTAAATATGAAACAAATAATCCAGCTGTTTCAATAAGGGATAATATCTATCAATGGTTCATACAATAAATAGAAAAATATGATCAAATTTCTTTATTCTATAATCATTAAACTGGTATCATGTAATGTTAAAATAATCATTAGTAAACATGTTTACAAGTTATTCTACATAACCATTATCGATTAAACAAATTCGAATAGTTTCCATTAATACAATTAACTTCAAAATGTTGTACATTTTTTTTAAGAAAAGTAAAATAATTATTTTTTTAACGTGCCTAATGGATTTTACACCTATTTCTAATAAATCTTTTGTCAAAACTTCAGGCACTACAGAGGAATTTTCTTCGTTGCCAAATTCATACGAGTAAGGTGTAATTAAAAAAATACAAATATAAGTTTGGTCCTATTTTACCGAGGCGCTTGTTTTCTCAGAAAACAATTAAAAATTACTCGATTTATATATATATATATATTCTTTTAATTCCTACCCGTTTTCGGGTGTTGGATATCAGATGGCCAAAGGTCAACTGATATTACTTGGGAAGGGATAAATGCAGTGGTTTCCCGTTTCCTTTTACACTTGGGACCTGGTGCTTTTGCCACCGTAAAACGCACGTATGGTCACTCGTCCGCACACTACGGCTTAATAAAAAGAAAATATATATATAAGCCAAATAAAACTGTTGAGTTGTTAAATATTTTTTATTTATTTTGTTATGTATTCTAAATAAGTTATAAATTTATTTAAAAAAAACTAATAAGTTAAATACAAAAATTTATGTTGCATATTTAATGTTTAAGTGTTATTTCTATACGCAGTAGAGGAAAATATCTGGAAGAAGCTCGGAAAATTTAAAGAGCCATATAAATACTTGAAAATTAAAGAGCCAAAAAATAAATTTATGATTTCTTTAAAGTGTAGATTAAACTAAACTAAATTAAATATATATATTTTAAAAAAGACAAAAACAGTTCTATTAATAAGGGCAACAACCAAGTCTCAATCGTAGTATACATTTTATTTATGATATTCAATACATTTTTTCTGCGTCCATCCACATATTTATTAGTTATAATTTTTTTTACTGATTACACAATACGTACTATTTCAGTATAAACAGCGTTCTTTTGGAATTACAGATGAAATTGTATGAAAACACATACAATTTAATTTTTGAACATTTTTATGACTTTATAAGTTACCAATACAATTAAAATTTCAATGACAGATTACAAAAAAATCTATTGCACATACAATCCCTAGAAAAATTAAAAACTCGCGTTTAACCTTTTCGTTCTAATGCGAAATTCAGAGTTTTAGAGCTAACACCAGGTAAAGTCTTCGAATACGAACTAAATTCTTCTAATCATTTATAAATTGTTTAATTGGAAATAAATACGTACTTTAGTCTCGAATTTTGTTTTGTTACAATAGTAGTCAAAAAATGTATTTATTTGATATCCCTATTTTTTTCTGTTTTGTATATTTTTATAAAAGATAAATTAAGGAGGGTAAAAATTAATTTAGCAGCCCAAAAATTTTATTATATTTGCTTCTATGAATATAGATTGATTAATATCTTTATTACATATTTAAAAAATGCATAAACAGTACTCAGAGAAATATTCTGGTTATATTATAAATATCAATTTAAAAATAATTTAAGTTATTATCATGAAATAAAATAACAAACCAAAAAGTAATTATTCATGTATAGGTCAAAGAAAAATGAATAAATTCAACATTCTATCAGCGTTATACATTTTTAACTTTTAAATTGTAAAATATTAACAACATTTTGTTTTGGCGTAATAGATATCCATATTGAATTTCATTAAAAATGTATATATTTTTAACTAATTTGTTTTTATTTTACATCAGTGGGGATAATAATATAAGGCGACTTACGTTATTTGATATACTGGATGTTTCACACATAAAAGAATTAAAAAAATATTTCTATTATGATGAAAATTCTGAAAAATGTCATCCGTTGAACAAGAATGATTTTGTAGAAGCTATTTGTTCCATCACTAGTAAGAATTTCGATTTAAATTAAATTTTTTTTAGTATTAACAATAATATAATAGCTTTTCAATAAAAAAAAAAATAGTCTTTGTAAATTTTAAAATTTGCAAGTTTCGTAAAATTGTGTTAGAAGCATATGCAGTAAAAAACTTTTCCTGGTTTACGGTATTATATATTTGTATAAATATGAAAAATTGTAGATCATGAATCACTTGTAGAAGAAGCAAAAGATTTTTTCGAAAAAGCTTGTGTCGAAGACCCTAAGTTAAAGATAGATGTATTGACTTGGAAACAAATTTTAGATGAAATTCGATATATTGCGGCAATATCAGAACACTTTAAGGAAAAAAATTTATTTGAACAAAATGTATCAATGTATTTAATGTCACACTGCAAAGTAACTAAAATTAATATTGTTTAAGTATCAGTAAGAAAATTTTAGACAGCACATATAACAATTTTCATTGATGGGAAAGGAAAGAAATATCACTTGTATGCATAGCCGCAACTAAAATAAAATTTTTATTCACTCTGTATATAATTTTTTAATAAATTTTAAAGGGGATCTAAATTTTTGTCTAATAGGCTAAGCTCCTTTTACCGCGCGTATGCCTGTATAAAAGAATTCTTACGGCCATAGTTATACCTCGCGAGGCTAAAAACAATATTTTCATATTAAAATTTAGCTAAATATTTTAAAAATTAGTTTATTAAAAATAATATTACTTTTCAGTTCAGAAAAGTTAGCAGTAAAATCAGTGTCGTGCTAACTGTGATTGGCGCCCCTATTTTATTTATTTTAAACAAAATACATATCATGCAAATAAAATATGTTCGTATTTCTTTTGCGCCCTAAAACACTTGTTTTTGTTGCCCAACCCTCCATTAGAACAGCCCTAAATAAACTGCGCCGAATTAAAAATTTGACGAAAGACTTTCATTAGGATGGTGTACTTGAAATTTCGTAGTATACTCGTTCGCTCTACACTTCAATAAAGTACTAGTTATTACATTTAAATTGTACTCTATCTCGACATAGGAACTTTTAAAGTAAACTGATTTAATGTACTATAATCTTTTATAAAAAATACTTGTTATAGTTTAATATGACAATAACTGAAAAAATATGATTTTCTTATTGATTGACTCTGGTGCAAGCCGGTCATAATATGCGTCCCGTCCATTATTGGCTTAGCCAAGAACCATCTTTAACTACCTGTCATGTGAAAGAGAGCCACCACCCTTCGTGGTATGTTAGGTTTGGGAAATAGAAGGATGTTAAACTGATCATTACTTTTTATATAAGTTAAATCTGATTAGTGATCAAATTTAACTCGGTACTCAGTTCACGTGAAAAATAAGTTTTAACACTTAGTTTACAAACCATTGATGAACATTGAGCAGGCTTGTGGGTTAGCCCATCCTTTATTCTTCTTTTTTCTCGCCTTTATCCCAACTACTTGGAGTCAACCACTCTTATCCTAAATTTCCACTGACTCGGTCACCCACATCATCTGCTCATTTATCAACTATCAACTAGTTACTACAAAAAACTGACTCCATTGTTCACTTTCCAGGCAAAAAATTAAAGTGGTTCTTTGTCACTAATGTTTCTCCATTTGTTCTTTTGTCAATTACCTATTCCCAAATTTTCATACTACGACTCATAAGCTTTATATCTCTATAATTTCCACACTCCTGTGGAAATTTTAAATTCCTTAAATCATATTTTAATTTTTATTATATCTAGGTCCAGATCACTTTAACTCCATAAATATTTGACAAAATGTCTACTTATGTTACTAACTTTGACTGCTCTCCATAGCAGTTTCATAACTTCCGTCGGCTCTAAACTCTATAATGTTTACTAACAAGAAAATATATTTAAAGTTCTCTTTAACGTGTTTTGTACAATTTACTACTCATGAAATTTAATTAGAAAATGTTATCGGTGCAATTTATCACTTAATTTTAAGTAAGAAAAATAATCAGTTTAAAATTTTCTTATTTTTTATTTGTTTTTTAGCATGAAGTTATTATTAAAGTCTTGAGTATTGAAACAGAAGAGTCTTTTTGCTATACGATTATTTCAAAATTTGGTAAAATCGGTATATATGACGGTCGATTAAATCTTCTCAGAGAATACGCGTTGCAATTATTTCAATTCTCAGATGATTCAGTAAAGACATCTCGCCGTCGTCGAAACACATGGATTAACGATGCCATCTATATGTCTGATGCTCAGTTTATAGCTTTAATTACATCGGACGGTGCTATTCACTTCATTGATACGGTTTGCCTAATTCACGTTCCTACCTTTATAATTACAGGTATGATTTTACACAGATGAAAATTACTAATATATAGAGTAATTACCTAACTAAGCCTTACGAAATATCTTCGAAAATATTAGAAAATTATTATTTAATTTTTTTTCATATTGATCAGAAGATATACTGAGAGTTTTGACACCCCAAGTAATGTGTTATTGCTGCCCCTTAATTCCAAAAAAAAAATTTACCGTCCAGATCGATTTTCGAATGGCAGTCACAATTTTTTTTCTATTATTAGATTTATTGAATTGAAACAATTGGTTTTTTAGGTTATTTGACTTTCAACTTGTTACAGCTGTTTAAAATTTAAAGGCGATCAGAAAAAAACTGTAATTATTATTAAAAAACTGCAATGTTATCTTATCAATAAATGCTACCGGTTTATAGATTTACGATTAACTGTACACGTTATCATATTATAAATCAGTAGCACTTATCAATTTAAGACCCAATAAAAATGCATTCATTTAAATATAAATACGCTTTTTTTAATGATCGCTTCTAAACTTTAAACAACCGTAACTCATTGATAGTCGAATATTAAAAAAAGATTTTCTAAAAAAAAAAATGGTTTTTTAATTCATTAAATGTAATGATGTAAAAAAAATTTTGGTTGCCAATCGAAAATCAATCTGGACAGTAAATTTTAAAATTGATACAAGAGTATAAAGTGAAATTAATTTTTCCTGTAAAGTAGCTCAACAAAAAACCATTATTGTTAAAAAATTAAATAATAATTAGCTTTAATATTTTCAAAGATATTTCGAAAGGTGTAATTAGAGAATAAAAATCAAACTATATATTTGTTTATCTTTTTTTGTACCTCAAATATTCATAACTAAAATGTTGAGTTTCCTAAATTTAGGAAAATTTTTAAATACTATTTTTAATTATACAAAGAAAATATATTGTATCTTTACTGAAGATTTACAGTTTATTTTTTTTAAAGGGATAGTAAAAATCATTTTCATTAATATTTGTTCCCTCTAAAAAATTTCTAAGATACATAATTTCAAATAAATTCAACTTTTAACATTTTATGAAACCTAAACCATATATTAAATATGACACAAAATAAAATTGGAATAGGCTTAAAAAATACACCTACTAGCTTGGAATACTGTGCTGGCAACACTTCCTTATTATTTGTTGGTGACGATAAAGGATATATAACTTATTTGGAATTTCAACAACCTTTAAGATCCTTATTCAAAAGGGATCCTACAAATAAGGTCGATGTGTATTTGTTCAAAGTGAGTAATCAGCTTTTTAAATATATAATATTAACGTTAACAATTATTTTTAAGTTTTAACAATTATGCATTATTATTCATTTTTTTATAAAAAATCTAAAACCACGGGCTGAAATGTTATAAGCGAAAATCATAGGAGCGAGCTGAGAGGTTAGCACCTCCAAATTAGTTTGTTACATCAAAAGTCTTAATTTATATTCATCAATTATTATATTACAGTAATTGATGATTTATTTTAAGTTGAATGTTGAAGGAAGAAGAGGTAGAGGAAGACCTATAAAGAGATGGAGGGATGCTATTGAATGCGATTTGAGGACAGCTGATGTGAGCGTAGATAATGTGGGACATCGTGTAAAGTGGAAGTTTAGGATAAGGGTGGCCGTCCCCATGTAGTTGGAGTGAAGGCCAGGAAGAAGAAGAAGAAGATGATGATGATTTATTTTAAGTAAATAACACTAGTTGACAAAATTAAACTTTTTTTTATAACATTAATTATATATATTTATTATATACATAGTGTTTTAATATAAGCATAGTCATTTTGATGCGGGTAGGGTGTAATATTTTAAGTCCAATCTAGAAAAAAATTTTAATTACATCTATAACAAGTGCACATTTTCTATTATACATAGCGCCATAAATGGCGGGCTTTGTGTGGCTCTTAAGATTTTTTTAATGAAAAAATAATCTTATTTTTTAGTCATCTTCTGAGTTAGCAATACCTCTTAAAGCGTGAGGTCTCGTTTAGGTGTACACCTCGTACATCCCATAGCATTGAGTTTAATCATACATGCAATTAAATAAGTACAAAGTGATTAAAAATGAATTTATTTTAAATTTATGCGTTAATATGATTACCGAATGTAAAATAAATCACTTTTAACTAATTATTTTTTCAGGAATTATATCTTCAAGAAAAATGGGTAAAAGTTTACACAAGTATTGAGCCATTGCATTCAGATTATGTTAAACAAATAACATATTGTCATGCTAAAAAAAGTATACTGAGTTGTTGCTACAGCTCAAAAAGATCTCTAGTTATTAAACATCTTTATGACCAATGGAGTCCGTACATATTTAATATAAAAAATGTAATAAAATGATGTTTTAAATGCGCATTCTTACAAATATATCAAGTAGATTTCTTAATTTTCTTTTGCGTATACATAGGGAGTACGTTGTTTTAATTACAGCGAACAGTTAAAATTATTGGTAACTGGATGTTCAACAACCATTTACGTCTGGAATCCAGTAGTAACTAATAAACATATGGCTATACTAAATGGACACAATAAAAAAGTAGTAGACGTAAGAATTTTGGAACATTTAAATGCCATAATCAGTATTTCCAAAGATGAGGTTTGTTATAAATTTGATTAAAAACTTTTAATCTGTGGGCTTAATGGAGTAATTTAAGAAATATTTTTTAATTTATCTGGTTAGGCGATCAGCGTTCTTGACCTTACATGATCAATACTAGTGCTATATTTTATAATGCCAAGGATCAATCTAAAATCAGTCTTAAAAAATTGGCTCACTATTTTAAGACTAGTATCTTCAAATTAATATCAATTTAGACCTTTAACGATACACAAAGAATTATTAATAATTCTGAAAATTAAACTATATAGCTTACAAAAGTTATTTATGATAAAAATTATGTACTGAAACATATGATATGTAAAATATAATATGTATTCATTTATTGCATTACTGTGTATACCATTTAATAAAAAAAATTACTATTGACCACATAATAAAATTTCAGTCATTGGATTTAGATTTTGTATACTTAAGATTATCTGGTTTTGCTTAAATCAATGGCTCGAATTTTGTGATCTTGAGGAAGTTAATAATTTAGATTTCTTATCCGAGGGCTTGGACGTCTTTAAGTAAGCTTATTCTAACGTCTGAATTTTACCTGGTTTGTTTGTAAGTAGGAGATTTAAAAATATTATGATTAATGGAAAGTTAGCAAATTATTATACCTTTAAAATTTACTGAAAAATATTATGCAAATTTGTATTAAAGTAAGCATTAATCTTATATAACTTTTAAAGCTTTATACTCTAAACTTTTTTATTTTTTTGTTTATAAGTTATTAAGAAAGCATTGAGTTTACTTTAATATACACTATTTATATAGTTACACTATTTACAAGGATGCTATAAGCATATTTGTACTTACAGATAAACGCTATTTCACAGTCCTGTATTAAATTAAAATATGATTACTTTTGTGATAAATTCTAATAGTACCACTACTGATTAAGGTATAAGTTATAAATCGCCTATGGTTATTTAATTGGGGAAGAGTATTAAGGTAGGTAAACCTCCCCGCCCAAAAAAATTCTAGACATTAAAATAAATGAGTTTCAATTTAATTTAAATTGTCCATATCGATGAAACTATAGCAGTACTATTTTATTGATAATTTATATATACACTTTTATATTTAATTACTTTAGGTATTTAAAATTTGGGACCTGAACAGTTATTTGTGTTTACAAACAATAGAATTCGATTTTCCAGTGAATAGTGTATTGAAGAAGGTCGTAGAATTTAGTTTGAGAAGTTTTTATCCAGGACCTATAACTAAGCAACCCCCCGAAGAACAACAGGCTTCGTTAAAATCAATAGATGTTAGTAATATAACTAGCCTACCAACTAGTAGTTATTTACCAAAGTAAGTAAAATTAATTACTCTATAGGTGGTAAATTTATAAATTTTTGTTTCATAATTATAATTTAATTACAATAGTTATATATAAAATTTCAGAGAAAATTGGGTTTCTAATGTCTTACTAGTTGCGTGTTCTAACTTTATAGCGATACTTCAATTATCTTTGAAAGAAACCTTTCAAAAACGGTCACCATTATCTCCACCTCTTGAAGAAAAAAAACCAGCACTACCTTCGGAATGGAGTTTCAGTGACATTGAGTTTATAAACATTGAAGACGTGAATGAAGTACATTTAAGTTCTCCAAAAATTAATAATGATTCCATGAAAAAAAATCTCATTAAGGGTAGACCTAAATTAAATCATGTAGCATTTTGCATAGATCCATTTAGAAAATACAATAATCCCACAATGAGAAATTATGTAGAAGAAATGGTAAAAAACGGTACACCTCATTTAGCTATGCACTTATGTTCAGTGAACAAATTAGAGCTATCTAAAGATTTAATATTATCTGAAACAGTAAAAGCTAAGTTTCCTTATTTGAATAAAATTAATGACTTACTTAATGATGGTGTCATATATGATAGTAAATTATCACTTCCGATAAAAAAAATGATACCTAATCAAGTGATCACCCTAGAAAAACTTATGAATGAAATTAATTCATTAGAATTTGAAGACAACGATAATTTTGAAGAAAAAATACAACATTTTATTTAATATAAAAAATATTAGATACATTTACAATAACAAATATTTATTAACAGAACGGCGAACCCCAGTTTCCAAATCCAAATGATCCTAATCCGAATGGTCCATATCCAAATGATCCTAGACCAAATGGTCCATGTCCCCAGGATCCTAAGCCCCATTGACCTAAAATAATTTATCATTAAATTCAACATAAATATTATTAGTATAGAAACAATACCTGACCATGGATAGCCGCCACCCAACCAACCAACTGTTTCTTCTGTTAACATGTCTTCACGACTCTCGTTTGTTGTGTGTGGATCTAATTGGGAAATCGATTTTGAAAAACAAATTTTCAAATTTAGTGTAAAAAACATTATAACGAATAAAATCATTCGAAAATACATCTGAGGAAATATTAAAAAAATATATTCGTTATATTTTATAAAATTCTTTGTTAAGATATATTATTTGTATACTCACGTTAATTAAATGTATAATATAATATATGCACACAAGTACATTCGAACACTTAGTTCGAGTAACACTACTTGTAGATGATGAATACTACTGTTATAAAATTTCGACTGTTTAGAGGTTTTAAACAAGAATCTAATTAGGTAATTTTAAAAGATTATGTAGTTAAATGAAGAATTTATTATTAGAAATATAAAGTTTACAGTAAATGATAAACGCATTAATAAGTACAAAAATAATTATTTTCTAATTAATTACATTGATATTTATTAATTGAAAATTAATTACATCTTTAATTTTGGTACCAATAGGATTCTACATATTTTATAATGCAATAGTATATTTTTAGCATTCACAAAATTTAAAGAAACGATATCAAATCATAAACTATTTGATATAATAAATTAAATTAAAAACTATTCTAATACTACCATAATTTAACATTTTTATCACAGTAAATTGTATTTATTCATTTTCACTATAAATTAAGGATCAAATTTTTTCTAATTCGTCACATGACTTAGACTTATTCCTAAAAATATAAATATATTTTATTTAAGATATTAAGGTGTCAAATATATTTTCATTATACCTGATAAAATCTCTTCTTCCAACTTGCATAACAATTTGTCCGGTTTTTATCTCTTTAAAAAGTGAAATAGCTTGAGAATGTCGAAAACCATCTAAGTTTTTTCCATTCACACTTATTATTTCGTCACCTAATTTTACAATAATTATATTGCAAAATAAAATCAATTTTATATACAATATTTTTACTTGCCTTCTTTTAAGCGTTTTGATTCAGCTGCCTGGCCATTTGGGAAAATGGTCTTGACAAATATGCCCATACTGCCTTTTGGAGAATCAGTGCCACCTACGATACTAAACCCTAGTGATTTATGACCAGGTCCTTTGCTGAAGGTAACAGTTGATAGCGAAATAGATAGTGATCTTGGTCTAGGTAATTGGGGAAATTGTGATTGCTTAGGTTGGATATTATCGATGTGATGAATTGAAAATTTTCGCATTCCTGTAATTTTTGGTTTTTCTTCTAATTTAATTTCTGGTAACGAAGATTGTCTAGAATATATTGCAGGCTCTTGCATATCATCTGAATTTGATGTCAACACCTTAGGAACTGTCGGAGGTTTTTGTAAAATTTTTAATGCTGATTCAGAAGTTGGAGTTGAAGATTGTGGACATGTACGTCTAGACACAACAAACTCTATGTTGTACTTTGTCGGACGCATTAAACATTCAACATCTTGACACTTCATACCTCGTACCCGAGTACCATTAATTTTGATAATTTCATCATTGATACATAGTCTACCATCTCTGAAAAATAAAATCAAGTATAATGCAAATTCAATAATGTAATTAGGTTTAACGTTTTGTAATATTTTAAGCTTTATTATTTACATGGCTGCGGGACCAGATAACTTAGTAATAAACAGGATATTAGAACGAGATGAACCAGAATCACGAAATTCTGTTTGAACACCGACGTCTTCTCCATAACGTTTATTTATACGTATGGTTTTTATTTCGGCATGGTATTGATTATTCGGCTTTAATGAGCTACCCTTTTTCATTAAAAATCTTTGATATAGACTCAAATTTTGGTCAGAAGGTTTTCTGCACTCATTACATGCCAATGACAATTTTTCAATACTTGATCCCAGTTGAAGTTCTTTTACACCACCCCTCTTTATTCCGGAGTAGAAATTTTTTTTACAAGAAAATTCGTCATTATCATTAGAAGATTGTGACTTGATTGATCCTCTAGGGGAATCTCCGCCGTTTCTTGTAAAATCGCTTTCATAACCGCTTTCATCAGCTCTTAATATTACACCATTACGTTCATCTGGATAAGTTAGCGTTAGAGATTCTCCAAAACTCGTATGTCTCCTTCTACGAGTTTTAAGAATAGTGTTACTGTTATTGTGTCGATCACCAACTTTATTAAATAGTTTTATAAGATCCTCGTAGCATAGTGATGACAGATCGTCAGTTTTATGTTCTAATCCCAATACTTTTTTGTTAGCCAATAGATATTTAAGGATGCATTGTTCTTCTAAAGGATTTTCAACAATATCTGAAGGCAATATGGTTCTTTTAGTTTTTCCCGGTCGAATAGAGGACATAGTTTTAATATGTGATACTTGTTCCATAGCGTACAAATCTTCTAACCCTTTTTGACATTCATATTTTAACCAGTCAGGATCTTGTGATTTCATCGATATTTCAAGCTTTTCTGTACTTCTAACACTTTCTATCCTCGACAATCGCCTGTTGTGTAAATTTTCCATGTAACGTTGATATAAATCAGGCTCGGGCTCATTTGAAATACTATCTTTTGACATAGGCGACCACTGTCTTCTACGATTTGGAGACATTTGAAGTAGTTCAGAAGAATCACTTCTCTTAAGTTGGTCCCATCTGCGTCCTACTTTTTTACCCCACGTTGCTAAACCTAAAAAATCGATAAATATAATTTTAATGATAACTGTAACTCTAGTATGTTATTTTAATTTACTTTTTTTCTGTGGTTTAGGTGAACAATTGTCAGGCGTAGCATATCCTTTAGGCGTTGTATAACCTGAAGTCGCTTCATTTAGATCTTGATTTTCAATATGAGCTAAACTAACTAATTGTGGACTTGGATCGGAACATCGCCTCTTAAATAATCGCATGATTGCTAAAAAAATAAAAGTAATTCGTTAAGTATATATCATATATATTATTTATAATTTATTGTTTCAGTAACTATTCAGTAAGCATATCTCAACAAATTTGATAAAAATAAATTTTAAGTAAAAGATTTTCGGAGTCTTGTTATGCAAAACTTTTTCTATATTTATCTATTTACTAACTGTACCACAATATATACCCTTAATATATCAAGAAATTTTATGATTTTTAATGCAAATTTCTCATTGCATTTTAACAGCTTGTATGTTTTATTTTTTTTTATAATTCTCTTTTACGCTAACATTTTTTAACATTGTAGATGTTTGTATGTGGGATGTTTATATAAGTAAAGCTTAAGGAAGGTGTCAATGGCTTATTCCTAAAATTTTTTTCAAGCTGTACCTAAGATGCTCGGGGCTCTTATCTATATCATCTCGCCTTTTCGGGAACCTTTCTCAAAAAGTGATTAAAAATGCTATTTGGTAATTAGTTGATTGAGTAAAATACAGAAGTTAATATTTATCCTGTTCTGCTCAAATTATAACGCAGTACTGGGGTTAATGATAAAATGTGGTTCACAACTTTTTTTAAATAGGGAGATTAAAAACTATTTTAAAGTAGTGTTGTAAAATGTCTAAAAATTTATTACTGAAGAAATTTTTGGGAAAATACTTCAAAACTTTGGAAAAAGAGAAATATTTTTATTTATAAGCTTTAATATTACTATATTTTTAATATCATTAATCAATATTCATCTCTAAATTTTATTTTAAATAATTGTGAATAACTTCCAAACATTTATTTGCTTCTTTCCGACGAGGTATGAAATTTTTAATAATTTAAAAATAGTACTTGTATTCACTATCAATCTATTTTTTGTATATATTTTAAAATGGTAATAACTTCAGAAATACTGGTCCAACAGTTGGATCATAAACTTTCCTTATAAACAAAAAATGTACTCGAAACTAATAAAGTCAATAATTATTTCTTATTTTACTTTTATTTATGTATATAATAGAGCAGGTTGTGATTGATGTATTATCTGTAGTATAAAAATTACATAATAACCTATTTAGATGTATATTTCTATTTCATAAAAAGTAACACTAAGAACGAGAAAATGGTTATAAATATTGTTTTAGTTTTTATTTTACAGGTAATTACTTAACCCAATCAATTACTCACTAAATAAAAGTAAAATTATTTAAAACATATTTTTTATTATACGTCACTAAATACACAACTATTATGGTAAAACTTAAATAAAATACATGGGAAAGTAAATATTCTCTAAAAATAAATTTGTCAGAGGAATCTTTTTTAAGTCATTTTTATACATATATAAGTCCCTTAAGCATAATTAGTTATAAAAATTAATTATTTTTACACGATTATTGATTTTTTTATTAATATAATTTAAAGAATATTTTAAGGATTTTGCATAATTAAAACCATATAATTTTAAACTTTTTAAATATACATAAATCTGGACTCTAATTATGACTAACGACAAACATTATTATTAATTACAATAAAATCAATTAAAAAATTTATTTTATTAAATTTTGATAGATTTCCGATAGTCATTGAAGTTTTTATTTTAGAAATTTCTTAATTGGAACTTTTACACTAGTTTAAAATTAAATAATTATAACTAGTTCAACAAACTTGTATTTTGTGAAATAAATTTTTTAGTATAAAATGACCAAAGCAAAAAACCAATAACCACATTTAATTTTTTTTATAGTATAGGCAAATTATTATTGTAATAATCGAAAACTAATATTTTATTGTAAGCTCATGCATTCATTCAACAGTATCAAAAATAACTTAAATTTTATAACGATTAAATAAATACAGATTATATACGTGTTACGTATGTTGTTTATTATAACTGATCAGCAAGAAAAAATTTTAAAATAAAATCAACTTGATCTTTCCCACGAAAAACATTTTTGACTGCTGTTTTCTGTACTATAGAAATCATTCCATCTTAGCTACTTACCCATCCTACATATTTAAATATATATAATTTATTATGTATTTATTAAAATATAATTATCAAACTGTACATTTTTCCTTTATAAAGTAGTATATATTTGGATAAAAATTGAATTATTTATGTAGCAATGTACATCTTTTAATATTATGCCAATATTTAACGAGTATTAAAAAGTGAAACAACTTATATGTCATGCATAAATTTTCGTTTAGATTCATTTAGTTTCCTTCCGTTTGTGCTGATAGTTATTTTTGATACGTTAAGATTTATATATTTTGTTAGTTATTTAATATTTGTATCCTGGCGCCTACAGTTGTGTATTAAAATAGTTATACGACTGCATTAGTTCTATATTATTTTTAAATAGAACGATCTTAATGGATTAACGTCTGACCTAAAATCATAACAAATAAATGATTAATAATAATACATTTTTAGACATTCACAAACAAAATAATAATTGTGTCGTACATCCGACATGGAATTTCCCATACATAAATAATATTAATTATTATACGATAGCTACTTTATGTATTTTAAAGAGATATTAAATTATAGGTTTTTATATTTACTAAGAAATTACAAATCTATTCAAAGTAAATAAAATAATACACATTTAATCGTGAGATCTACGGATCTAACCAGTATAACAAGTACATATGATATAATTAATGCATAGGTACAATACAGCATATTTTATCAAACGGATTTATAGTCAATGGTTCCAAATTATACTTTAGAACTCTAGTTTTGTGATTATGTATACATAATACGTGATACCTACTTCTTAAGGCTTTTAATTACATTAAAAGTAAATGTATACATTGTGTGGTTGCAACAAAATTAAAACTCATGATAGTAGATGAATCCGTTGTAAAGTAAAATATATTTTTCACAAGTGTTAAATAAAAATATATAATTCTATACGTCATGCTACTCATGTTTAAAAATGACAGCAACTTCTAACATCACTAATATATGATGTGAAGATTAATTATACTTCACAGTAAAATATCACAATGTAAGTAGGTAAATTCATAACTAATACCTTCAATTATCTTATATCAAAACACAAAAGAATTAGTACACAATTATAAAGTACTTACACGAAATGAATAACAAGTACGGCAGATAATAATATACAAAAGGTTTTAATTTTTAGTACGTAAATTTGTAATTCTTAAATGATAAAATATTAATTCTATAAAAATTTTACTATAAAATTTACACTTGAATTTCTAAAATGTTCAACAATATGTAATCATTTCACTTACTGTTAAAAAGAAATTAACGGTAATACGTCCATGTAAATATTAATATGAACAAATTACTGATGTTAAGTGTTTTTTTTATGGCATTTAATATTAATGATAATCGGGTAAGTACACGTTAAACTCGTTATAAACTAGTTTCAGTTAAAATGTATTAAAAAATGAAAACTTTAATAATAAATAAAAATTACTATACAGAGTAATCGGTTTATCATAAACCACTCTATTACTTACAAAATAAATACAATATAGAAAAAAATATTTTAATTTATTTTAATTACATATATTTTTTGATTTTATCTCGTGCTAATTTTAGATACGTTTAAGTTATACCACCGAAAATTATAACAAATACTTTTAAAATATTTTTTGTTAAATAAAAAAATTATCTAATATAAATACAAAAAATAATTTTTATAAGCAACTTAATTAAAAAAAAAAAAATTTCAATGAACCAAAATCCTATACAAAAAAGAAATGTGGTAAGAATAACAATATGCAATCCTATCTATAGCCATCACTATAAAATATTGATAAATTCCGAAATACGGGTTAAAAAGTTATTATTGATCAATCATTTTCTTAATTACCTAATTTTCTATTTTATAAGTTAGTTAATTGTGTATGTTGCCATTAAAAAAAATTATGTTGACATCATAAGGTATGATTCTAAAAAATCATTTTGGCTGATAAATAAAAAAATATAGATAACTAAAATAAATCAAAACATTATTTTTTCTATATTGTATTATTTTGCAAATAATCGAGTGATTAATGATAAACCGATCACCTTGTATATTAAATTTCAAAATTAATGAACGAATTTATTTTATAATACAAATTAAATATTAAAGAGGACTAGAATTACATAAGAATAATAAGTTTGTTTTTATCGATGCATAAATATAGTAGTAGTAATTGTAATATTCGAAAACATTGTGAAGGGTATTATTAACGTCTCGATGATATTCGGTGAAAACAGTAAATTCAGTAGAAAGCTAATACTCGAAACAATTATAAAATACCAAAGAACATTCAATGATTAAAATTGACGAATACGCTACTGGTTATCGTTTACTGATTGAAAAGAGAGTGTAATTTTGTTGCACACTATTTTTCAATTCAAGTGTTTTCCTGTAAGTAACTTCATAATTAAAAAGTCTTGCATTTTCTTTGGCAAAAATTTAGTGAAGTATTTATTTAATTGGTTAATTTTTTTACTTATTAAATTTCAATTAAGTAGAGTTGTGACAAAAAGCATTAAGGTAATTAAACTAAATTGTCAATGAAATGTAGCTAATGTATTGGAAATGTTAATTCGCCGACATTTGTCAATATGCCAACGTATATTTTTAAACACCTTTTTAAATAAAGCAAAAGCTATAACCGTGTGCTTATAATATAATTGGCACCAGTCGTTTAACACATATTTAGCGCTTCATCTTTTTTTCTTATTTTCCACCAAAGAAATCAGAGCGCGAGTATTTTATCATCACGTTAACACGCTCTGTATATTACTAATATCATTACTGTCGGTCCATTATGGAATAATACATTATAATTATAACGATAGTAGAACTCATGACCCGAAAGAAAAACAAACTCGTAAAGCGAGTAATATTGACGAATACGGTCGACCACGTTAAAATCAATGACCTAGCAACATTTTTATTGTGATATTTTTGTTATTGTGATCATTGACACTTGTGTTAACAGATAAATAATGAAAAATGAATGACTTGTACGTAAATATGAAAACTATTAAGTGACACCATCGCATGCGTTACCAATGACGAAAAAAATTTTATAAGATAATTTTGCGTATTTATACTTTTTCAAATAAAAACATTTTTATTTTAATATATATTGCTCAGAAATAAAATAAAATATGCGCGCCCACCAGTAGAGAAAAGATGTTTGGCCGTTTACTTATACAAATCGATTCGTACTTGCGAGCAGGTGGCTGGCCGGATAGGGGGCGATGGAGAACCTGACTAACAGACTAGTGCTACAGACAAATCGCCATTTGGCACAATAATAATATAATGTGTGTGTACTTAAAGATGTACGTGTATTTCCGTTGAGCGAGAAACACCTGTGAATGTTACCGAGGGGAAATCATATAATATAATGGTTGTCGATTTACAAAAGAGTACTAGGATGGTAACTGTTATAAAAATATCGGTTGAACCGACCAAATTACAAAGTAAAGTACTTGCTTAAACCATTTGTGAGTTACGAAATCCCCTCTTTTTAGCGCATAAAGTCCATTACTTTAATGCAATCGCACTTTATATGTTAGAACATCGTTCGATAAACTCAATAAAACTATGTAAGAACGTCATGAAAATTAAAATAATTTACTAAATTGAATTTCGAATAAAATGTCGGATACGTCCGGTACATGCACGTTTGCCCATGAGAACAGTAGGGCGACACCACAAATATGGGTGTATACACGCAATATTATATATTTATACATAATATCGCAGTTTGACCAAGAACGAATACTGTTATTGGAGGCTGGCGAACTTGGAAAACTACTCCTAACAACCGGTTTTAGTAGTAACACCATTAAAATGACTACACAGGTTCTCAGGCGCGGCTCATTCAGTAGAATAATTTTACACGCATCGCTTTTTATGTATTACATATTCTGGGTGTCCGAGAAGGTAACTTATAGATACGGTTGATACATTAAGAAGTATTGCGAAATAAAAAAAAATGCCTTCGTATTGTGTTTTAAGAATAGTCAAAATTAATAACTGAGTAATTTCATTAAAAATTAAAACTTTCTTATAATATTAATAGAAATTGTAAAACTCAAGTTAGATATTCTTGTCTAAATCATTACAATAAATACATTTGTCGAAATAAACGATCAGTAAAAAAACTGAGTTAATAGTACTAAATAACCATCATAAATTAGTTAAATTTGAAACAAAAATATTTTATTATTATTTTTAGCATTTTTCAATAAATAATATTTTTTAAATTCTTGTTATACTTTGACAGAGCTCAAAATTAATAAAACATTGTTAAATAATTTTATCTAAAATCAATTACAAATGCCAACCTATATAAATATTTAGATCACGTCAAAATAAATGATTTTTTAAATTTTCAAATGAAAATAATGAAGGTACGATTTTATGACGATGGACTACATTGTTAAGTTATAATAGAAATTCAAAGTACTGGCTTGTAAAAGAAACATGCTATAGTTAAGAGGAAGAATTTACAGATGTGTATTTGTTTTCAATCCCATTTAGCACATGGCATTTTAGAGTTTCGTAGTAACAAAAACACATTTATGTAATTCATAATTATTCAACTAAAAGTTACCACTAAAATTATGTAAAAAATCTTATAAATAATTGTTTTGCAATTACTGCAATTAATGTTTACATGAAAAATCTAAAGGTTCTACGCTATAAACGACTATTCTAACCCTTCCACGAAAATGAACTTGGCATTTTGTTTTCTCTAAAAACAAATTAAAAGTTAATAAACTCAATAGTTACTTAATACTATTCATTTTGCACATTACAACGTTCGAATGAATAACAATTTACAGCTTTCGTTTGTAAATTGATGATCATTATTTCAATATATAATTGTTAAACATAAGTAGCTTATTACAGTAGATAGTACTCCATTTGTGTTTTCAATAGACGTATGTTCCACTTTCGATTATTATTATGACATGTATAAAACCAGATATTACACGAGTGAATTTAGTGATAATCAGATATTTTTAGTGTTGTGACTAAATCATTTTTTTTTCTTCATTAATTATTGAAGTGTTTATATTTTCGAAAATTCTATCAGGTAATATATAATTTCATGTAATAAATTATATTAGATTATACGATGATTTTTATAGAAGTTATTTATAATTAAATATAATTAATTTCCTCAGTCATTAAGTCAATAAAAATAGATATTTACCCAATATATTTTTATACGAAGAAAAAATAGCAATAAGTTAATTTAAAATAATTAATTAGTGAAATTTGAATAAGCATTAAATATCATAATTGGCGTTATTTACTTTCTACTATCGCTTGTTTAGTAAATATTTAAAAGAAAATTGTACTGTATATAGAATATATTTTTTACAATAGTTCAGATTTTTTTTTAATTTTAATTAAAATATTCAAAATAGATAATTATAATTTCTGCCGAAAAAAAAAGTTTTTTGAAGAGAAAGGTTTTAAGCCTATGTATTGATTATATTAAATAAAGTTTATATATTTTAAATATTTAAAAACATAACATTTATGTTTTATCGAACAAATTTTTTTAATAAAGAATTCCGATTAAAATTATAAGAAGATTTTTTTAAAACTTCTTAGAAAGTAATTATGATATTATTTCAAATTTCCGTTAATTTTTTGTCGGTAGATAGCTGTAAGCAACAACATTTTAGACTATAATTTATGTAAATTAAATAACTATCATATTTGGAGATATGGTTTAGTGGATAATTACACTTAATTAATTTTTTTTTTCAATAAAATATAAACATAATTTATTTATGAATGGGTATGTAATCAAGTATAATTTGTAAGTTTTAATAAGTGATAGATCTGATTGTTATACGAAATTCCAAAAAATATTTATTAATAAAATACTAGATACAATCATTCTAGATATATTAAAAAGCGTTCATTAAAAAGATACGCGTTGAAAATATTTTTCAATATTATTATGTATAGCAAACACTGCGATATGTCGTTTAAATTTGCAGTTTCAATTTTTTCAAAATACGTTTGGTATATTAATAAGTTACATACTTAACTAAATAGTTAAAAATATCAAAACCTTAGCAAAAATGACTACTATATCCTATAAGCTTTAAGACATCGCAACAATATTTATTTATTAAAGTACATCATTTTAGATTTTTTGTATTAATGTAGCACTATATGAAATAAAAAATAACGATAAAATTTTTAAAATTTTTGTCCAATTTGCAGACGAATATGTTAATTATGCAATTTTACTGTTTTACAGATAAGACGAAACATTAATACCACGTACCAAACAAATTCTAAGAATTTCAAATATAGTAAGATAAGACACACACCATCATCTTTTTTTTTTACTGCGGAAAAATAATAAAAAAGTAAGCTATTTCAATAACACCTATAGTGATAAAAGTATATACGAGTCAATAGTCAAATGATCCAGAAATTTTAAGATAACTGAACATTTTTATATTTGAGTTTTTTTATTTTATTAAAAACATTAACATTTTGTATGCCACTGAAATACATATATTCAGTCAATGTAACACAATCAGCACAATTAACAATTAAGTCTAAATTTAAAGTATAATTCAATTCAAAAATTGTAGTTAAGTTATGAAACCATTTCTACATGAGTTATAAGAGTACAATGCTTAATTATCTTTATCATAATATATCGCACTTTAAGTACAAGAGGTCCATATGTAGAAATTCACGAATCATAATATTTCACTTTTTGATATAATTTATTGTTCTATACCTATATATACAAGCTACTTATACAAAATTTAACTCGAACCCAATATAAATACTAAATATAAAGTAACACATAATTCAACTAATAGAAGGTAAAATCTGTGAATCGCGAATTCCTTCAAGTACCGCACTCTTACACTTACAATGTGATATTTTTAATTAAAAATTGAATCCATATACCTATTAACAAATAACTTGTTGATAATTTTTCGTATAATCACTTATGTAACAAACTATTTAACAACAATGTAAACTTTAAATAGTATTTATAGTGCCCACTCATAAACATAAGACTTGCTCCAGAAAATATTGTTGTTTGCCTTGACGTACCTAATTCTGTTTAATAAATACGACAATTGGTATTAATGGTACGATAATCTTTTAATTAAGCTCACCTATCGCATATTGCTTAATATATGTATGTATAAAAATATATTTATACCAAATAATTATTTTTATTGTTTTTACTTCTTACTTTGCTAATGTTATATTAATCTGTACTGTTGCCCTTTAGGGCGTAAATTTAGTAATAAATAAATAAATAATTCTATTACATTATTGAGAGTATTGTATTTGTACTGTTGTTTTAATCTAATGATAGATAATGAGGTGTTTTATGAATTAGGTGTTGATTATTTAAATAGCGTATAAAACACCTCAGAGGTAGCTTACCAAAGGGGTAAAAGAGATAAAACAACAAGAGCAATTGCAAATAAATTTAGTGCATAAGTGTAATTAGACATAGCCCATCTTGTAATTTTTATAGAGCAAAGTTTTACAATTTTTGGAGAATTATTTAACAGGAATAAGTACATTATAATTTTCATTAAAATCATTAAGGTTACAATTTTTCATTATTTATAAACTTCTATGGTTTAAAGAATGTTTTGATAACGATTTATCTAACAAATATTCCGCTCTGAAGTTAACAAATTAATTTCTAGTTAATACAAAGCTGTAATAAAATTTTTATATTTCATAATGTAAGCATACATGAAATGTAATACTCAAAATCCTAGACAACAATAATTATTGTAGGACGAACGTAGGTTAACATTGTATTGATTAGCATTAAGAAGAATAAAACAAATATCAATTTATCATTGTTTAACTCGGATGACTAAAACAATTTTTTTAAATAATGATATAGTAATAAAAGTATAATATTATAATTATAATGACAGTCAGAAGAGAATTTTTTTATGGGATACCGAGAAAAAATTTTTTTTCTGATGGCAATCAAATTACTTCTTTTGGCCAGATTAAAAATATTATTCCTTGTCTCTTATTATTTATCATTAATTATACTTTAAATAATTGGTTTATTGTTTATTGATACAACTGACACGTCTTAAGGGAAGTGCTCATACAGTAGTAAACATTTTTTTTATGCAAACATTTTTTGGAGTGGACAGGACCACCGCATTTTTTGCCCCTCCTGGCCCGTTGGCTTACTAGACCGCCCATGTATATAACTATATATTTTAACAAGACAATGATACATCTATGAAACACAATAACTAAATAAATAAAATTAAAAAATAAGGAACTCAAATACATATTTGTTAGAATTATATAAGGAGGTATTTTTTCTATAATTTTGAAAATTACATGTATAAAAAGACTTAAAAATATTGACGAAGGAATTGATTAGATTTTGAATAATTAAGATGTGTGAAATTAAGTATAGTAATTAATGATGAATCTTAATAAATAACTTACTTTCAAAATCAATTTTTAATCTTAAATATTTTAGTCTTGAAAACAGTTAAAAAAGTTTCTACTGCATTATCATGGTCGTATTTTTAAATATATATGCATATATAATACGATATAACAATTAATTAAAAACAACGGAGACGTTCATACTACAAACACATAAAACCGCTCGAGACATACTAAACAACCAACTGTAGAAATACTTCTTTCTAGTAGGGCCAAACAGATTATTGATAGTAGCGCTTTGCGGACACGTGTAATAAAAATAAATACAAGACGGATCACAATTTGATTTTTTAAGCATTATAAATTAATACTTATAGATATTTTTACACAGTTCTCATCTATTTTAAACAAGGCTAAATTTAATATTTAGTTTAAAGAAAAATTAGAATAAGTAACCGTATAAATGTTTTTATTCTAATGTGTACAAATATATTTTAGAATATTCATAACAATTAACCGCATCATAATTTTATATTTTTTTAGAGGACTATAGGTTATTTTTAAACTTATTTATCATCATAAAAAAGAAAAAAATAATGAATAAATAATCCAGGTTGAATAGTTTTTAAAATAATATTGCTAATAATAATATGTTTTTTAACGTTATTATGGTATATAATATATTAATCTTATAAAAATGTTTTTATAACATTTATTTAAAAATCTGGGAGCCTAATTTTGATAATATTCTATCTATTACACTAAATAGGTACTACCTTTACAAGGATACCCGTGTAAATAAGTATACAATATATTTTTATCTTATAATTTCACTTTTTCTTGATGAATTAATTTAGAAGCAAAATTAAGATATTAATTTTTTTAAGGAATACGTCATGATGTTATTGAATTACTCAATATATTATATGCAAACTCCAGTTTACCAATTCATGGGCCTAGTACCATGAGACCTAGTGGTCTCCTCTAAACAAAATTTCTTGATTTTGCAGGGAATTGTACAACATGTTGTATGTGCACTTCTACCACGATACATATCCACTCCATGTATTAAAATTCTAGTAATTCAGTAAGTACTTATTCTAAAATTGTTATCAACATATCAAACATTTTTGTAAGAAATGAAATAAAAAGAGGCTATTTTCAAATTAAATAAAAACTTTTTTCTTTATTCTATACAATTACCCATTGTTATTTTATATTATATTATTTATATATAATATATATTTTTATTAAAATATACTTATATTTTTTCATTTAATTATACTACTTGGCCTTAGTCGTTTTTGATCAGTTTTGGATATATATGAATATATATTAGATATATAAAAAAAAAATTTGCTTTTAACATAGTTAAAAAGTTATTTATCAAAACATGGACTACTCTATGTATATTCTAAATAGAGTATTATATGTTTTCAAACTTTTTTTGTAACCAGTTAAAATATATGCTAAAACTTTCTAAAAATATGACAAGAAAAGATCATAATATAATAACAATAACACTATGTATAGGTGAAGTAGGGTTACGGAGATTGCCACGAACTGATGATGCCCCGACATTTATTTACTCCGACACTGTAAAAAAATCCTCCGAATACATTTACTCCGACAACAATTACTACGAATACCTGGTTACAAAAATTTGGATTTTACTACGACGATGAATACTCCGAGTAGGACTTTTAATTGATTGCTCCGAATGAAATTAGCTCCGAATATCGATTATTTGCGAAATCGATTAAAAAATTATCAAATTTCGGTGTAGATGAATATTGTAGCAATATATTATCTGATGGAAAAATATAACCCTTATCACTAATTAATAAATATTAATTAATATAATAAAATAGCGTTATAATTGATTACTGTCTATTAACGAATAATTATTATAATAAAGATCCCCGAAATGTATCAGACTTTTTATAAAATAGGTACGTAAAGGTAAGAAAGGGGGCTTTGAACTAAAACAACCAGTTACATAACTGGTGTGAGCCCTTAAATTTTTTTTTTGGAGGGGAAAGAAGAGCAATTCCAATTTTCAGACGTAAAATCTTTTTTGTTTCTCCTTATTAGTGCTTATAATAACATTATAAGCACATTAATATTATAATATTTAATTAGTTTAGTTAAAAAATATAGGGGTACGTTTTACTGATGATAGGATTCGTCATTAAACAGATGTGTTTATAAAGATATTCAGTATCCCATTCTTTAAAACTGTCATTACAATTAGTCTCATATGAAATCAAACAAAAATATGATTTAATATCATTTCATTGTTCAAAGGTGGGCAACGAAATTAATTCAGTCCAGTTTGGATTTGACCGCAATCTGGAGAGACTTGAGGGGGCTTTGTCTCCTAAAATTCTGCCATAGAATATATCGAAAATGAATTAATTTGTATTTCTTGTTGTATAGAAATATTTTTTAGATTAGGTAAAAAATTATGTAATTAGAGTTCCCAAATATTTTGTTGCTATACTCCTACGCTCTAGTCAAATTAAGTAAGCAAAAGGTAGTTATAAGTTAACAGTGGACAATAGTTAATGATTAATCATAAACTTACTTAAATCTTCTGTTAAGATAATTAGTTTTAAACTTAACTAACTCGATTAAAAATATGCAGTCAATTCATTAAATAATGGTTCAGTTTTTTTCATTTGCTTTATGATTATTTGAAGTTTTGTCAAATATACGTAAAGAGTTAAATATTTTAATTTATAATCATAATTGATAATCAAACAATTATTCATTTTTTCTCATTAAATGGAGAACAAATATAATAATGTAATATTGAAACTTTTTTTTAGGACATATATATATAAAATTACATTTTTACAAAACATAATGCATTACATTACGTGATTTTATTTTGAAAATTAATTTTTATTTTTAGGAATATGCTTGCATATTCTAAAAGTTCATATAAAATGAATTCAAATTTTTAAAAAAATTTAATTTTGTATTTATAGAACAATACATTTGTATTTGCAGGATACACGTTAAGCTAATGAGATGAAAAACATTGGCAAAATAATCATCTTTTCGCAGTGTCGGCCTGGCTCAGAAGGCCTTCAATAAATTTAAGATTTTTTTTCTCGCTGGACCACTGAGAAAATTGTCTAACAAATTTAATTATTATTGAAAAAAGGAAAGGCTATTCAGATATTTTTTTCGAGGAAATATCAAACTGATTTCAATAAATGTATATTAGATTTTAAAGAAAAAGAACTTTAAATAAATAATTTTTTACTCCTTAATATTTTTAACTTTTCTTTGAGCACCACTGGAGATTATATGGTTTTACTTATAATTTAACATTGATTATAAAACTCATGTCACAAAATTAAAATTGTTTAATGATGAGTTAATATATTTTTACTTTTAGATGACACACAGAATTTTTAAATAAGAAAAAATTAATTCTACTTATATATAACCAAAACTTACTAATTCGTAGCATAACTCATATTAGAACTTGTAAACTTACACAGTTTAATATTATTTTAATTTTTTTTAATATAATTTAAAAATAATTTTAGTAATTAATTTTCAATTAAAATTGCTAAAAGAAAAATTAATCTTAATCTACTAAGTCAACACAAACCTATTGGAAGAAACTTCCAAAAAGTAATAAAAAAAAAAAAATGTTTTCAACAATTACTGCATTGAAGTTGGATATACTGTGTTATTTTATACTTAGATATCCTAATGCAGCACAGGAAAAAATCCAGACATCCCCAAGAATGATTTTATATTGTACAAACAATTTTATGTGTTATATTAGTTATTATTTTTTAATATTACACACTTAGGAATTAATCACTAATAAAATTGCACAAGACAATTTTTACAGCACATATTTGTTATAGAAAAATTAGTTTTCAAATGGATCTCTTAGATGTTAAAAAATAAGTTACTGTTAGATAAAATTTTGTGGATCGACTGAAAAAACAGTTAACTAACAGTTTTTTGATTTGATGAAAATATTTTGTAATTATTGGATAATTAAAAAATAAAATTCTCAAAGATAAATATATATTCTAACAATAGAGAAAACTTTTTCAAAAATGTACATTTGTATTAAACACTATTAATTTTATGTTACTTAATGAATGACTATTATCATTCGAGTATTAATAACATATGTCAAATGTGAGAAATTGTACCAGAAAATAATAAGCAAAANAAGTATTAATAACATTTGTCAAATGAGAGAAATTGTATCAGAAAATAATAAGCAAAATGTATATTATTGTATAATAACTAAGGTAGCAAATAAATGCTAATTGAATAGAACATTTTAATTTAAATTTTACAATATTATTAATAATAATATAATTAATTTAATAATGTAGTGTTTCTGTAGCCACGTGACCCTGACGTTGCAACGTATACGATCGATGCGCCCTATTACTAATAATACAATCGAAATATAATATAACTTTCGATGCATAATCAAATTATCGATAATGTCGGAGTTTTTACTGTCTCATTTTTTAAATTTAATGTCGGAGTAAAATCCGTCGTAATTTTGGTAACCTATGAATCAGATGGTCGGAGTACCAGATGTTCGTAACAATTACTACTTTGTCAAATGTCGAAGTATGNTAATTACTACTTCGTCAAATGTCGAAGTATGTAAATGTCGGAGCATTATCTGTTCGTGGCAAAGGTGCTTTCCCGGTGATGAAGTAGGGAAACTGTATATGTGCATTAGGAGGTATTAGAAATACTCAAATAGCATATTTATGACCAATACTTTATTGTTCTAGATTTAGTATATCTGTTTGAAAGATAAATCAGTTTTATAGCTAAACAGCAACAAGAGTCATTTTTATGAATTTTAATTTGTAGTTATAAAATATCAGTTAATGACTTATAAATGAAAAATATTATTCAATAATTTATTAATCTAAATGAATAATTTATACATATTTAATAAAAAAAATTAAACACTATAACTACTTATTCACATTTACACTAATTAGAGGGGTAATTGTTCACATTTGGAGAAAATTGAAATAAAGATTTTCATATATACAATTTTTTGTATAACCTTTACAATGTATATTATATAAAAGAATTAAATGATGAAATTTTCATTTAATTATACCACAAAGTCTCAGTTATTTTATCAATTTTGACAAATTTTACACTGAATGGCTATTAAACTATAGATACTTAATATTTTTAATAAAAATTCAAAAAGTAATTTAACAATCAAAATTTATTAGAAAAAATAATACATATATATGTATATAAATGAAACATTTCATTTTTCAGAATGTTAATATGGTTTATGAGATATATTTTTCAAACTTTTTCTGGATACATCTTTTAAAGAACATTTATCATTGTTGCCTACATCATGAATTTCATTTAGGCTCCACACACTAATTATACCTGCTTCACCTCCAGTTATAAGAGTTCCATCCTAAAAAATGAAATACACAATAATTAAATTTAATGATACATTTTTTTTTTTTTAAATCAAAACTTTCAATAAGTGTTATATAAATTATTGTAATCTCTATTGCGAAGATTTTATTTAAATTTTAAATAAACTATTAAGATAGTAAATATTAATTGTTTTATATTTAAACAGAGATCTAATAACTCCTATAAAAAGACTGAAAATAAAAATCAAGACTTTTTGCAATTAATTAACATTATACGTACATTAGAATCATACCAACTGCATCTAACAATTTGTTTATTATTCTTAAAAAGAGTTCTAGGAGAAATACTTGAATCAATACTAATATTAAATGATTGCAAATGTTCTCTAAAAGTATATATATATATATTATATTTTATTTAAATTATGATCACTATAATTTTTATAATTTTACCCTTTTCTGTGATTATTTCCTACTAATAATAATATGTTACCATCATTATCCAATTGATGGCAATTAATAACTTGACAGTATACATCTGGTTCAATCTATAAATATAAATATAATTGATATTCATTCAAAAACAATATTCTCAAGTATAATAATTACTAAACATACATTCATAGATTTACTAATAGCATTTCTCAAAATGCTTATACATGGTTTTGAATCAGTGGTATGCCACAATTGTAAATCTTCTGTGTGAGTAATACAAGAGAAAATCCAGTCTTCGCATTTATCTTTAAGCCAATTTAATATACTCTAAACCAGAAATAGTACATTTTATTCAATAAAACAATTTTGAAGTTATCTACTTATTTATCATTAAACGTGACAAGTTCTTTTGAAATAATATGAAATATGTTGTACCTAATATATTCATAATAATATATAAATAAAACTAATATAGATTACCCTTAAAATAATAAAATAAAAAGAAAAAATATTACTTTAATATAGCCATAATAAAATTAATTTAAAAATAATAATAATTAATATTTAAAATTGATCTACAATGAATAATTTGTATTAGAAACAATTTCTTATAATAGCATGTTTGCTTTAAGATTACATGAATCACACTTGGTAAATGAAAAATGTTTAAGGTAGTGGTGATTAAATTAGTGATTTTCAATGCTCTGACTAAAAATATATCATAGATATTAGATATAAAGTAATATTATAAAAAAATTATATTTTAGAATATAAGGAATGGGTTCGAGAGCCATTTGAGCAGAAAGATCAGGATATATTGTAATATTGTTCAATAAATCATACATAAATATAATGTCATACAGTTATCATCTAAACAAACGAGAATCTTAATTATACCAAATTTTGAATTGAAATATAAGAATATCAATAAATAGGTAAACTAGTCATATGGGCAACTATAATTATATTTTCAAAGAGTTTAATTTTATTTAAAAGTAGTTTACGATTAACTTAGTCAAACACTTTTTGAAATTCTATATAGATAATATCTATTAACTGCCTTTTTTCAAAATAGAATGTTGAAATATAAATTCAAGTTCTGATTGACTAATAAATTAGTTATCTTTTAAGTGATAATTGACTTAAATATTTGTCATAATAGATAATTTAGATATTGGTCTATAGCTACAAATATTATTTTCCATGCCAGATTTTAAAATAGATATAACAAAAGTTTTTCTTCCAAAATTTGTGAAAAATAATACCAGAAGCGAGTGATTAGTAAAATAATATAATGGTTTAAAAAGAGCTAATTAACAAGATTTTAGAAACATTGGTGGTATACCATATAAATTCACACTTGTTAGGTTATTTAATGATTTTAAATTAAGTTATATAGTTATAACCTCCACTTACAACTGATGAATTAGTATTAAATGTTAATTGGAGTGCATCTTTTTCACTTGTTTGAGTGACATCAAATAAGTTAATTATACCATCTGTAGAACCACTTATAACAGTTTTTTCTTCATTAGGATGAAATTTAACCTAAAATAAGTAAATAATAATAATTATTGATAAAAAGTTTAACAAAAAAAGTAAAATTAATAGCTAGTATTACTTGGGTAATATCGCCTTGATGAGTATCCCAATAACCACCAAGTAATTTTGTAGTTCTAACATCCCAAAATAATAAAAATGAATCATCAGTTATAACTTCTGTTCCTGCTACTAAAAACCTTCCATCACAAGATACATCAAAACATGATAATGGCTTTAATTTTGAGTCAGTATCATCTAAAAGTCACATACAATATATTGTAATTATTTATTATTTTATAGTTTAAGTTTTACCTTTGTAACAACTGATACATTTTTCTTTTGTACGCAAATCCCAAAGTTTAATAGTACCATCTTCAGATCCTGTGTATACAATTCCAGAAAATTCATTACGATTTTTACCAAATCTTAAAAAAAAAAAATCACATCTTCAATAAAATTTACATTTCTCAAAAAACTTAAACAAACTTTATGTCCACTATTTTGTTTTCGTGATCATTTAATACTTGAGTACATTTATTATTCGATTCAAAATTATAAATTTTACAAGAAAAATCTGATAATGCTGAAGCTACTTTAAGTGACTGTCCTCTGAAAATAAAAGTTAATAATTAAAATTTTAATTTAATACATGAAAATATGGATTCAATCATAAAATTTAATTTACAAAGTACTATAGAAAATTCGATAAAAATGACAATATCAAAGTTTTCAGCTTTATGATTAAAATCCTATCTCCATCCATAAACAGTAAAATAACATTTTTATACTACATAAACTACCAAAAATTGATATGTGGCTATTAATAGAAACATTATTTTTATAAATTTTTTAGAACCAAAGAAAAACCATAAAAAATTGACAAAAAATGTCCATTTTAAAAATACAAATCAATTAAATTTACTAGTGAACTAAAAAAAAAATAGTAATGCAGAAAATTCTATTATATAATTTAGTAAGTTATATTATCAAATACCTAAATACAGTTATACTATTTATAAGACTATATCAATAGTAATATACATGTCTATGATCTACTTGTAAATTATTATTCAACTTTTATTTTGAAAATAGGTATCTTATTTGATTTTTAATTTTTGTTTAACTTTTGAAATTAAAAGCAAAAAATTTAAATTTATTATAAAAATAGAGAAAAATTGTTGAAGTTATGTGGTTTATTTAAAATTTTGTTTTTCATTTATTTTTACAAAACTATAGAATAATTTAAAGAAAATTCTATAAAGGAAAATATTATATTTTAGTTTAAAATAGCCATTTGCCACATCTAATCAATAATTTTAAACAAAATTTTTACAAGAGCAATTTTGTATATAGTAGATTCTATATTTATTTTGATAAAAACAATTATAATTACTGTTTATAGGCATCCAAATGCAAAATATAGATATTACTTAGATTAACAGCTTCTTCTAATAATAATGTGTATTTAGTATCATAACAGACTTCTTTAGACTCATCAAAAATAGGAGCTGGTTCATCTTCTTGGTTATCAGAATTAACTTCTTCATCATCAAAACATATGTTTTGTGAGCATTCGTCATTACTTAAAGATGAGGAATCTAAAATAAAATGAATTAATATTTTCCTGTTAAATTATTTTAAAAATGTTTAAATTATAACTGAGTTCTATTAAAATAAAAACTATTTTATACCGTCATCAGTAACATCATTCAAAGTCATAATTGTAAAACTAGTCACAAATTTCGATATTACAATTTTTTATCAAAATGTGATACTGTTTTATAATTTATTAAATTAAATTAGAGTAATAATTTTTATATAAATTTTTTCTCTTTTTAAAATTTATTGCACATGTTCTGACTGGTGTTTGTGATAAAACGTTTAACGTTATAATATAAAGCCATAGTCTTTTATAATACAGAAACCTATGATAAAAAATAATTAACAGTGTCACCAAACACAATAAAATATAATATTGTACTTTTCAATAACCTCCAATTATTTATTTAATTATGTTTTAAGTTTACCGCCAAATTTGTTGATGATCTGTTGTGTTGATTTTCATTTAACAACTTAGTTAAAAGCTACTTTTATCAGTTATCTTTATTAATTATTGAGTTCTACTGAATTTTTGGTGGAATTTAAACTGTTTAAAATTTTGACGTTGAAGGATTCGTCTTTTTAATTTTTAATAATAACACTTAGCTGAATAATTATTTTTTTGAACATTCATTAAATTGATCAAGTGAGTAATATTATTATGTGCCCAATTCGTTTTCAAAAATATAATGAAATTATAAGATAAGTCGAAGTAACGTTACTTGTTATTTAGAAGGTTTAAATTTTGTTTTCTTCTTTTAATGCAAATTCAAATATTAACTATTAGGAATACACTTTTGCTTTCATAATTTTTTTTTAAAATTGTCTAATTTTTAAATAACTAATATAAAATATAAATATAATATAAATAATCTATAATTTGTACCAGATTTCCATATATAATATTTAAAAAAATTATACCTTTTTTTACGATAATTTATTGATTTTTGGTGTAAAATTTGCTGACAATTTATACTCTGACTATTTATTCTTAACAATTATATATTATAAATCTATCAAATATTAGAAAATGTTATAAAAATATAATTTGATTTGATTATTGTGTGCTTATACATAGTTTTCAAATTTTATTAATAATCCTATTTCCAGTTTTCCATAAACTTCTGAAAGTTGATTAAAAATTTTTAAGTATAAATAAATAATAGAAATAAAATTAACTAAATTATTAGTCTTAAAAATGATATCAATATTTAAAGATCTAACTAATAAATAAATAAAGAGAATTATATACCTACTAGCTAATTTATATATATATATATATATATATAGTATTTAAAAATCTTTAAATCAGTTTATACAATTTAATTTATTTTTTATAATTTTAAATACTGTTATATTTATTTTAGTCATGTCTGGTCGTACACCCCAACGAAATGGATCTACAACGCCTAGAGAAGGTCGAACACCCTCAAGAAATGGTATTACCACACCAAGAACTAATGGTAATGCTACACTAAGTGCTAATGGTATTTCACCTCTCACTAGAACACCTGGTTCTATTAGTAGCCGTCGAGGTGTAATTTCAGAAGCATCTTCTCCTGCACGCCATTTTATGACTAGCCCTTTACAAGGTTTACATACTAGTGAAGTTGATTTAAGTTCACCTATTAATTATGGATCTCCATTAAGCTCTGTAGATTCACGAGCTACTGGCTTTACTGCACGTAGTACTAGCTCAATTCAACGGAATAATTTATCAGTTAATCGTCGTCATAGACAAGTTGACATTAGATCTTTTGAAAATGGTGTACCTAGATCAGATACTGATACTCAAGATGTTGCTTCTAATTTAGTTATTTGGGGAACAGATGTAGTTGTTGATAGATGTCGAACAAGATTTCAAACTTTTATTGAAACATATTGTGTTAATGAAAATGAGCTGCCTCATTATATGACAAAACTTGATAATGTTTTAGAAATGGAAATACCTTATGTAGATATAAATTGTAGTCATCTGTATCAGTTTGATCCTGAGCTATATCACCAATTAATTTGTTATCCTCAAGAAGTTATACCAGTTTTTGATACTGTTGTAAATGAAGTATTTTTTGCCAAGTATCCTGCTGCTGATTTAACTCATGTAACAAAAGCATTGCAAGTTCGTCCATTTAACGTACAAAAAACAAAAAATATGAGATTCTTAAACCCAGAAGATATGGATCAATTAATTACAGTTTCAGGTATGGTAATCCGTTGCAGTGATATTATTCCAGAAATGCGAGATGCATTTTTCCGTTGCATTGTTTGTTCTTACACAACTATTGTTGAAATTGATCGAGGCAACATAGCAGAACCTACACTTTGTCCTCATTGTAATACTAATCACTGTTTTGAATTAATCCATAACCAGTCTCACTTTACTGACAAACAGTTAACTAAACTTCAAGAATCTCCTGAAGAAATGCCAGCTGGACAAACTCCACATACTGTAAATTTGTACTCTTATAATGAGTTAATTGAAACTGTTCAAGCTGGTGATCGTGTTTCAGTTACTGGCATTTATCGAGCTGTTCCAATGCAAGTTAATCCTAAAATGAGAAATTTCAGAAGTGTTTATCGAACTCATGTTGATGTTCTTCATTTTTTAAAATGTAATGATAGTCGTATAGCTTTTTCTGTTGAAGAAAAAAATAAATTAACTGAAGAACGTATTGAAGTATTACAGCAACTATCTAAAACAGAAGATATTTATGATAGGTTATCTAATACGTTAGCACCATCTATTTATGAAAACAGCGATATAAAAAAAGGTATATTATTACAATTGTTTGGTGGTACTAGAAAAACTTCTAAATCTAACAAACACTTGCGATCAGAAATCAACCTATTGTTATGTGGTGATCCAGGTACTAGTAAATCTCAATTTTTATCATATGTGTATGATATTGTACCAAGAAGTCAATATACTAGTGGTAAAGGTTCATCAGCAGTGGGTATGACTGCCTATGTTACTAAAGATCCTGAAACTAGACAACTTGTTTTACAAACTGGTGCATTAGTACTAGCCGACAATGGAATTTGTTGTATTGATGAATTTGATAAAATGAGTGAATCAGCTAGAAGTGTATTGCACGAAGTCATGGAACAACAAACATTGAGTATAGCAAAAGCTGGCATTATTTGTCAACTTAATGCTAGAACTTCTATTTTAGCTGCAGCAAATCCATGTGAATCACAATGGAACAAAAATAAAACTATCATTGAAAATATACAATTACCACACACTTTATTGTCCAGGTTTGATTTGATATTTTTAATGTTAGATCCTCAAAATGAGCAATATGATAGAAGATTAGCTAATCACTTAGTTTCACTATATTATAAAAGTGAGAATTATGAACGAGATGAACAAATGGATACAACTTTGCTACAAGAATACATAACATATGGTAGAGAAAAGTTTCAGCCTATTTTAAATGAAGAAAGTAGACAAAAACTTATTCAATATTACGTCAATATGAGAACTGTTGGTAGTGGCAGAGGACAAGTGTCTGCTTATCCAAGACAATTGGAATCTTTAATAAGGCTGTCTGAAGCCCATGCTAAAATGAGGTATTCAAATGTAGTTGAAATCGAAGATGTAGATGAAGCATGGCGTTTGTATAGAGAGGCATTAAAGCAAAGTGCAACAGATCCCTTATCTGGTAAGATTGATGTTGGTATTTTAACAACGGGGCTTAGCTCTGCAGCACGACAAAGACGACATGATCTTTCAGATTATTTAGCCAAAGTCATAAGTAATGAGGCAAAATCAACTGTTTTTAACTATCAAAAATTATTAAATGAAACAAAATTAGCTTTCCAATTTCAAGTTACAAGAGATATGTTTGATGATGCTCTTAAAGAAGTCCAAGATATGGGCCGTATTATCATTACTGGGAGAACATCAATTCGTAGCATTTAATTTATTTAAATTTAATAAATTTTTTACAACTAAAAATGATTTTTATTTACTTTTTAACATTAACTTAGTGTTATTGTTAAAGAATAAGATTTTTTAAGTCTCTTAAATTATGTAGTATATTGATATTATCAGTATTTTTAAGTTCTATTTTTATACCTTCTATATGAATACCATACTAAAAATTTTCTTTTGAAATAATCTGAAATTTGTTTAATTAGATCCCAAGAAAAAATATTTTTCAAGCTTTTTAACCAAAACTTACATAATTTCTTAATTGCATATTACAAATGTTATTTAAATAACAAATAAAGTATTATATATATTTGTATACTTTTAATCTAAAATTAATTCTGCTATATATACGAGTAAGAAAAATGAATATACATTCATTCTACATTGTCCTATTATATTATATTATACAACATGATTTTATCAAAACTGAACTTTTATTAACATTTAAAACAATATAAACGGTAAAAAATAGTTTTTTAATTGTAGAATTCATTAAAAATAAAAGTGTTTGATTGTTTTTTTTTTATTTTTGAAATTGATTTTTTATGCAATGTGATTTGATCAAAAGTTCTATTAACCTATTCTAGTAAAATCTAAAATGAAGCCAATATGTTAACATAAAATAGCAGGGCTTTCAGAAAAAAATGTCAAAATTTGAAAAATAAGAGCAACATTATCTAAAAAAAGTAATATTTGAAGAAATTTGCCAGGAATAACTTGAGTTCACAATTGAAATAATTTAACTTTTTTTTTTTTTTTTTTAATAAAAATGTTTTTGATACTTTTGTTTTATTACAGATACATTACAATATTTATAAAGAACAATTATAATCCTAATTGATGTTGGTGTACAACAAATGTCAGTTAATTGAAAATATAACATATTTGTAAAAAAATATTACGATAACCAGAATATTTTAATAATATTTTATTAATTGTTCAGATAAGTCAAACAGAATTATACTTGAGCAGCTTTCTTGGCTTTAACTAGTTCAACAATTTCTTTATATCTCTTCATACACTCTTTTTTTGTCCTAGTGGGTACACATTCAGCTATCCTATCCCAGCGATCTTTAACTGATACAGGATATGTTTTAAGAGCTTGTTCTAAAAGTTTTTGTTCTTCAGCTGACCATCCAACGGGACGCTCTGAAACAACTTCTGGTACATTTACTTCACATTTTTTTTCTTTTTCAAACTGATCATAAGCATTAGCATTTATTTCAGATTTGAGAGCATTATTAGTAAAGTTGGTATTTTGTAATGATTTGGCTTTTGCTAGAACTTGTTTAGCGTTTCTTTCACCATTTTTGCTATGTTGATTTATAAAATTTGCAACTGCTTCCCATCGTTGATTAGTTCCAGCAGGAAATAAATTCACAGCCTTGATTAATAATTGTATATCTTCGGTTTCCCAATCATTATTATTTTTTTCAACTACTTTAATTTCATTTTTAATAACATTATTCATTTCAACTCTACATTCCATTTGTTTAAGTTTTTCTATTAAAGCCTTTCGACCTTCTTTTTGAAGAGCACCAGCTAATTGCTTAAGTTGCTCTACAGAAAGTTGATCACAAATTTTTTCAACACCAGACATTATTTCTATCACATTGTCTCCATTTTGTATGTAATAATTGTTAGAATTACATAAATCTCTAATATGTTTACGCTCTTTTTTTAATGCCTTTTTTTGGCTTTCTTTTTCAGCTTTTATAGCATTTCGATGAGCTTTTTCGGCAGCTTCACGTTCTTCTTTTTCTTTTTGGACCTTTGCAGCTTCTTCTTCTCTTTGTCTGATCTCTTCTTCTTGTTTAAGTCTAATCGCATCTTTTTTAGCTTGTTTTAATGCAGCTTTTTTTTCTTGGTCTTCTTTTTTAAATTTTAGTAATCTAGGATCATTAGCATATGCCAAATCCACTAACTGCCTAATACGAGTACTCTCTTCTTTTTTCAATTTAGCTCTATTAGCACGATTCTGTTTTTCAATCCACCTACGTTCTTCCCGATCAGTTGCTTGTTCACGATCTTCTTCATCAAGATAAGAAAATTCTCGCCATGAGTTAAAATTATACCAAAAATTATAGAATCTATCAACGTAATCACGGCTACTATTTATGTCTCCTAATTGTGGTACTGAATTATGTTCTGACCAAACACTATTACGGGCAAAAACTGGACCAAATAATTCAAAAAAATCAGATTTTTTGGCTGTCTCTTTAGAAGGTATACTATTTTCAAACTTAGGATCAATTGAATCATAAGCACGTCTTTTTGTTTTATTGCCAAGTGTTTCCCAAGCTTTAGTAATACAAGAAAAATAGTCATCATCACCTTGAACTTTTTCACCAAGTTTTTTTCTTTTATCTGGATGATGATTAAGTACTCTTCGCCTATATGCAGTTTTAATTTGTCCTTCAGTTGCTTTGTAACGTAATTCTGTTAATCCTAATACTCTATATGAAAAAAAAAAATAATATTAAGGTTTCTTTTTATAATATAACAGAAAAAATGAAAATTACAGCTCATAAATCTTAACGTATTAGAAAATGCAAGGCAAAATTTTTTTGTTTAATATAAATAGAATAATAATTTTTAAAAATACCAACAGATGATTGTTAAATTGACTTATACTACATTTTTAGAGGGTTATAATATAAATATAACAAAAAAAATGTTTTAAAACCGAATATTTTTGTTTAAGATGTAAAATTATTATATTAAATACAACCTATATATTTTGGCTTTATTGATTATTTTATACTAACCTAAGTAAAAATTTAAAATATACTAATATAAATTTTAAGTGTCTTGATTTAACATAATTATATATATATATATACTTTAACTGAGCTCTTCTATAGTACAAATAAATAATTCTTTTATTTTTTAATGCAATATAATTTGCACCGTATTTTTGTTAGTGTAATGAATGTATCTTTAATATATCATAATTACCGATAATGATCCTGATCTTTCCATTCTTTAGGATCTAAAGTTTTTAAGTAAATTGTATCAGCTTCACTTTCTTCAATATTTGTTATATTATTAAATTCTATTTCATCTTCGGTACTTGAATTATTCTCATGAACTGTTGAGCCAGACAATAAAGTTAGTAACCAAGGTCCAACAGTTTCAACTTTTCGCAATTGAATATTGAAAATAGGAGGTTTTTCTTTGTCTTTCATGATAAGATATTTTTCTACAATGCACACAATAATTAAACAACATGTAATCAATCTAATATATATTATATATTTTATTATTATTATTTTTATTTAAAACTCGATGACAAAATTATGAAATAAATAAAACAATAGATTTGCCAGCTATAGGGTAATACTATGTATTACCTCCAATATTAAATATTTATGATAGAATAAAATTGCTAACAACAATAAAGAAGATTAAAAATTTCTTTACTGAATGACCAAAAATTTAACATTTTTGAAAAATAATAATTTTAATTTAGAATTATTTTAGGTTAGATTGATTTTGGAAAATTCAAGGACAATAACAATATTACTAAAAACGTTTTAAAGGTCTTTGTAATCTTTAATTCATTATATTCAGTAACAGACACGTATTTCTCTTAACCAATAGATCCCCAAGACCACTATAACGAATTTCAACGATCATGAATGTTTTCAAACTTTTCGTGGTCGTCGTCTATGATCTAAATTTTGGCGTATGGAGAGTGAAATTCAAGATTTTGTGATTATATGTAGGGCAATAACATAGGCATAAGCGTAACTAATATAACATTTTTGATATTTCTGACAGAGGAATCATTTCAGTATTTTTTTATTGAAATAAAAATTTAAGTTGACCGTTTAAAATTATAAACCAGCCCATAATCTTTGTAACCATATGGAGAGGGGAGCCATACGTCATAAAGTGATCTTACTCTATGCCATTGGCATAGGGGACATAGCACCCTAAAATTTATGAATAAGTGTTTGATATTTTAATTTTTTTTTTGTTTAAAAGGAAAAGATTTGATGTCCCTATTCCTATGGGAGCCTCAAGGTGGAACTAAAATTCATAGAATATTGTGTAATATGTGTAATTAATTTGCATTAATGTCGCTAATATCAGTAATAAAATATCATTATTTTTGTATTATATGTAATGTCGTATGCACAGTACAACATTTTGTTGATATATAAATTATAGAATTTCTGTAATAATTTATTATTACAAATATCAAAAAAATACAATAAAATGAAATATTTGCGAACCTCGGTCCGTTGTTGAAGGACTTTGACAATTCAGTTAATTAATACGTAAATACTAATGTCCTACATAACTAATTATAAACAAGTCAATGTTTGAAAATCATCAAGAAAATATACTACATATACTAAAGTAGTAATTATGTTTTATTTATGTATTTGTTTAGTGGTTACAAAAATTTCTGAGAAACCACGTATATAATATACACTAGTGTACTTATTTATCAATAATGAGATTGTGCAATTTAAAATTTATTCCAGGGCCCTAATAAAGAGGGCAATCGCTCTTATAACCCTCAATGGCTTTAATGGCAACTAGTCTTAATGATATTTTTTAAAGTCGATATTTACAAGATATGGCTATAAAAACTTTTATTTTTAGTCATCACTTTGTTTTTTAGCAGAATAATTTTTTCTAGTATGCTACCAAAGTAAAAAAAAGGTTAAGTCACCCTTCTAAAATTAGTTTTTAATATATCCTGAGTCAATCATAATAGTATAAAAATTATATGCTTTTAAAAAATATACAAGATAGAACAGATCTAACTAATAAGTCTATAACTTTTGGTACAGTTTACATTTCACTGTATTTTTTTTAGCTTCGATGCGAAGCTGAAAAGGTATTAATTTTACTATGATGTGTGTTTTTTTTTGTGTCTGTTCCCACTTTTTCTCAGCTCTCACCGAACTAATTTCTTTTAACGACACGTCAAAAGATCACAAATTCTATGTAGTCGAAGATTAACCCTTAAAAATTGAAAAAATTTCCCTTGCTCCCTGTAAATGGGGGAAATTTCAAAGAAAATTACAAATTCAAAAATCAGTAATTTTCGACATTTTTCCAATTTTTTTTACTTAAACAGTCATAACTTTTTGAATTATAGATTAATAGTAACAATTTTTTTTTATAGTTACATTAGGTATATTTGTTTTGAAAATCTGATCCTGCTTCTGCCCACATGGGACTTCAAAATAATAACTTTTCCATAAAAAAATTACTTCTTTAACTTAACTTTTGAAAATATTAAAAGCGTATGTATAAATTTAGTAATGAAAGTATAAATTAAAGCGTATGTAATATACTTTAATATGAAAAAAAATTTCGTTGTTTTCATTGGTAAAATGGCTATCGTATTTAAAAATATGCTATTTTTATGTTAAAATTCTCGGTTTTATATAGCATTTAAAGTTAAATTTATTTACTTCCTTTAAGTTGAGAAAAATAAATTTGAAATTTGATTTAGCTTAAATTGCCATTTTTATACACTGAAGGAATGTGACGTACGGTTGCCGAGTTGGTAACATTTGTACAAGGCATTATTTTTGACACAAAGCTTTCTTTTAATGAATAGAGTAGTTATATAAGAAATGAATCGTACGGGAAATTAGGTTTTTTATACCGAAATTGAAATATTTTAAAAAATTAAGATGCCTTAAAACCTGTATATTATTCTTTAATAAGATATTAAATAGAAAATGTTGTGATTGTTTAACACACATATTTAATTTTACAGTTTTTTTTTTTAATACAATATTAAATTATATTTTTGTGTTATCAGACTCATATATTTAAAACTTCTCATACTGTTTATGATGTATCTATTAATATTTTAATATTCTAACAATAAAAAAAATATTTCGACTAAATCTAAAAAAATTTAATTCCAAAATGTATTCGGAATTTAATTTTCGTATAGATTAATAAGTAAAATAGTTAAACTGAAATAAAAACAGATTTCATTGTTTGTCTTATTTGTATTTATCTAAATAGGCATCACTGGTACTATTTACCAATCAGAGGTCTTATCATTTTACCGAAGTTTTGGGTTTAAAAACGAGTTTCGTTGTTAGCGTAATTTGTTACAGAAGCCTAGAAATTTCGGACTTGCGATATTAAAATCTTACTACTTGTAACTTATAATTTCAACTAAAATTTAAATATTTTCATAGAAAATATTATTTCTCTTTTTGTAAGTTTTTATATTTGACTGTTCAAAATTATGAATTAATCATAAATTATATTTTTTCAGTTAAAATTTCCCATCGATCGATAAAAAATGTCAACTAGCCAAAAACATCGCGAGTTTGCAGGAGAACCAATGCGAGATAAACCTGTCGAAGATTTAGCTGGTATTGGACCAGTATTAGCTGCTAGACTAAAAGAACAAGGATTTACTAAAGTAAGTCTTTAATATTTGTTTTTAAGTAATTGTTTAAATGTCTGTGTTCCATTTTTGTTAAAAATTGAACTTTTATCTTTTTAACGTGTAGTGAATTAAATTATAATTATGAGGGTAGATCCTATTTTTGGAATATATTATTTTTAAATTTTCATAAAGAAACATTGAAATATTGCTAAGTATTTTTTTAATTTATTAAAAACCTAATTAAACAAAAAATAGTTGGTTAACAATTAAAAAATTACTCTAATTGTATTATCCTATATTCCTTAAGTAGTAACTTGGCTAGTAATTTAAACTTAAGGCATCCTATTTTTAGTTCTAAATTTCCAGAATAGATTAACTTAATTATTGTTCTACTTTGTGCATATTATAAAACATTAAATGTTTTTTATAAAATTTAACTATATTATTATAATTAAAAAAATCATTCTTGGTATTTTTTCTTTTTATATATTTTTGATTTATTAATTATTGAATATCTAAAAATTTAATGAAGAATAAGACTGTTCACAACTTTTGATTCATAATTTTGAAAATTATTCAAATTTTTTATTATAAAGTAGATGAAGAGCAAGGCAGTGTAATAACTAATGTTAAAAGTAACATCACCCACACTTTACCTCACTCTAAATTTTATAATAGTTATAACTTAAAGTTATGAGTCAAAAGTTGTTATCCATTAGCTATTTTCTTAATTAGATCATTTTTTTATTTTATAGGCTAGTTAAGTATGTATGTTGCCATTTAAAAAATTAAAGTTGATATCTTTATAAGGGATGAATTAAAAAAATATACTTAATAATTGATAAATCTATATTAAATATATAACAAAAAATATAATTAACAAAAATTTTAAAAATAATTATTATTTTAAGAAACATTCAGTATCTAATATTTGTGCTGCTTGTATAAATATAATTATTAACACCTGTAAAATAAAAAGATAGAATAAAAAACGAAGGTGACACACGAGTAATTTTATGTTTATCTTTAGGTATTTTGGACTTTTTTTTTGATGTTCTAATGTTAAAATACTTTTAACATATCATTAAATGTTGAAATATTAAATTTAAATCTATTTTAGGCATACAATGTTTTGGGTCAATTTCTACTTTTACAAATGGATCAAGAATTATTTTGTGATTGGTTAAAAGATATAATAAAGGCAAATTCGAAACAATCTAAAGATTGTCATGCCTGTCTTAAGGCTTGGTGTGATGAATTTCTTTAGTTTTACAATATTCAATAAATTAAGGAATTATGTAAAATTATTGATTTTTAATTTCTTTCCTTAACTAATATTTTAATTTGTTGCACTTATTAAAATAAAATGTCAGATTTTTTTTCTGTTATTTTATAACATATACAAAATTGATTTATATTGATTGTATGTATATTATTAACTTTTAATATTGATTGAATCATTATGTTAATTCATTTTTAATATTACAAATATTAAACTATTGTAATATACCAGGTAATAACTTAATTCAAAAACTAAGTTAAATTATTAATTGACAAGAAATAAATCTAGTTTATGGTCATAAAATGAACACATACTAATTATTCTACTATTTTTTTTTTCACATATATCAGGGGTATCAATAGACAAAAAACACCAATCTGCTCCATAGAAAAGCCTTTTTTCTTTTTCCCCAAATGATTGACAAATATTTGCTGACATATTAAAAGTGTTAATTATATGTGCTCCATTGAACATTGAAGCACTTAATAGATACTCTTGTGTTGATGATTCCCATTTTAATCTCCAAACACCTCCTCCTACCTTGGTGTTTTTGTAGCTATGTTTCATATTACGTGTGTCCCATAGCCTCACATTCTCATCATAACTGTAAACATAAAATATTAATGTATGAATACAAAAATAGCTATTATATTATATATAAACAATATTTAAAATATTTTCCCAGATAATATCAATCAGTATACCTTCCTGTAGTTAAAACATTTTCTCTAAGCATGTTAGATGTACATGTTGTAACTCCTTGACTGTGTTCATTATTAACAAACACAGGTTTTTCAAAATTATTACGTTTATCATAACATTTGAATTTAGAATCATCACCACCTAATTAATCAAATATTTCAACTAAAATACACAGTTTATAGTTTGTTAGTACAATATATACCTGTATACAATAAATTAGAATTCCAGAAATCATAAGCCACAATCCATGACTCATAATTATGTGCACTAAAGCTGTAAATTGTTCCATTAGTTATATTTACCAAGGTAATAAATCCATGAGAATCGCTGATAGCAAGATTGAATGAATCATTCATTTTTGACCAAGCTATAGATAAACTCATGTGTGGTTCATTATTAGTAGCTGGAGTATTGAAGGTCGTAAATACTTTCAACCTTAATCCAGTATTCATTTCTTCTAAAAATATTTTTAAATTAATTCGTAATTTTTACTCTAAAATTATCATTCAATTCCAAAAAATGTAAGAATAATTCTATTTTGACTTAAAATTTAAAAAATATGTTACTGGAAGTCCATCGTTTAGCTTTCAAAACAAGTATTTTTTAGGGAAATTAAAATTGTTTATAAAATAAATTATTTAAGCACTATTTTTTTTTGCTCAAAATAATTATTCTGAAAGGAATTTAATTTTTGATTCTGAATCTAGAATTAGAATTATCAATGATACTAGTTTTTGAAATTATCACCAATTTGTGAAAAACAGGTAATAACGTAATGAATTACTCATAAAAATTTTTTTATAAAATCTTATTTTAAACTTTAATTAGCTATATTTAAAAGATACTTGCAAAATTTGAGATCTGTATATCAAGTTTAAGTCACTACACATGACTTTGAAGTCGATTTTAAGTCATTTGCAAAAATCAAAACTAAAATTTTATTCAGAATCTACCATCGTGTTTAGCACAAAAATTTGTTGAATTATTATTTAAAAAAGGTTAGATCATCTATTAAAATAAGCAAAGAAATGATTTAAATGATAAATGTTTACTGATAATTTAACATATATTTGAGTCACCTATAGAGAGCTCTGAAACTATGAAAATATAATATTGATAAATAAGAAAAAAATTGGAGTAATTAACCTAAACTATAAATGGTGATATGATTCCCAGACAACGCTGCAGCTAATAGTATTTTTCCTGAGAACAAACTATAGTTCCATTTCAAATCCAATACAGCATCATCTAATATACATTGAACTAATTTAATTGTTATTTGATTTTCTAAAGTGTATAAATTTATAGATCCTGTTTTAATTTTTTTTTCTTCGTCAAGTTTGTAAGTACCACAAACAAGTACATGATGATAATCTTTTATAGGGCACCATTCTACAGAATCTGCTGGGTATGTTGTATCATGAGATTCCAAATGAGTAACTTTGTTTATTGAATACATCTGCAAAGAAATGTATAAAAAGTAAATACTAAAATGTTATTTATTATTTGACAAGCCAACATTTTGAACAAAAAAAAAATGAACACAATAACACATAAATTAGTATAAAATGTAGATTTCTTTATTCAAAAATATAAAAACCATATGGTCCAAAGAATGATAAAAATTTAGATGAAAATATGTATTTTTGTTGATTATTTTAACCTAATTAACATTTTACGTTGCATAATATGTTGTATTTCTCCTCTACGTATCATTAGATAAATGACCTTGTCAATAGCTCTTTGAGGATATTTTTGCCGGAGAAAATCTTGTATTATACTGAATTCAGATACTTGAGATCCAATTGGAAATCTTCGTTTTAATTGTTTTTCAATACGTTGTAATGTTTCAGTATCTTCTTCAGTTGAAAAACCTTCTACACCTGATAAACAACCAGAAGTAGCCGCACTGAGTGTGGATACTTGAAATAATCTCAATGCTTCATCAACATGAGTTTCTGTAGCAAATGGTTGCAGCTGCATTTTAGCTAATGATTCAGCTATACGAATTATAGCTTCCAATTGACGAACTGTAATAGGAATGGCAAGTTTTTTTTCTGATTCTAGTTCATGACAACCAGTTCTCATAAGAACATAACGACTTTTAAGTTTCTCTCCAGCTTCTTCAGATAATCTGGGACCACAACGTTGCCGACAATAATTTAAGAACTTTTTAATTGTTGACAATGGTAGTTCACCTTCCACTTCTTGTTGATTCTGACCATTCATTAAATGAACATTCATAATATGTTTAGCAAGTGTCATATCTCTATTTTGATTATGTTCATCTTTAATAATAAAGATCATATCAAACCTGAAAATGCAAAAAAAATATTGAAATAATAACTTAACACATAACTTACTAATATAACTGTTTTTAAAGATCACTTAAGATATTTTTATTTATAAAATTCATACTTATATTTTATTTAAATTTTCTAGATATTTATTTCCATAAATTTAACTTATAAGAGTGTATAAAAAAAATTATAAAACCTATATTACTTAATTTATGTAATAAAAATAGAAATTCTTTAATTTTTTAATATCAAAATTAATAAAAATAAATGAATGTAAAGATTTTCAATTAGGAATTTTTCAAAGATTAACTCAAATTTAATATTAAAGCATATACATTTTATAAGGATATTTAATATCTACCGAGATAATATTGTTGGCATAAAATCAATGTTGTCTTCTCCTTTGCTGTCATCCCATCTACCAAATACAGAATTAGCGGCAGCCATTACTGAGCATCTACTGTTCAAAGTAGTGGTAATGCCAGCTTTTGCAATAGAAATTGTTTGTTGTTCCATAGCTTCATGAATTGCAACTCTATCACCTTCTCTCATTTTATCAAATTCATCAATACAAACAACACCACTGTCTGCTAGAACCATAGCACCACCTTCCACAACAAAATTATGCGATGATGGATCTCGAGTCACAGAAGCTGTTAAACCAGCAGCTGATGATCCTTTTCCAGATGTATATATACCAATTGGAGAAACTTGTTGAACAAATTTAAGTAATTGTGATTTAGCTGTACCTGGATCCCCTAATAATAATATATTGATGTCTCCTCTGCGTGTTAAACCATCTGGGAGTCTTTTTCGTGAACCACCAAATAATAAACATGCAATTGCTTTTTTAATATCATTAAAACCAAAAATAGATGGAGCAATTGACTTAGCAAGTCTCTCATAAATATCTGGTGAAGATGCTAATTTTCTAAATAATTCCTCATCTTCTACAGATGTTGGTACAGATGTAGTGAAACCTCCAACTTGATCATCTAACTGAAATCCTAATACTCTTAAGTATGGAGCTCGAACACCAACAACAGTTCGAGAATTTTCTGCAAGTTTTTGTTTTTTAGATGTCTTTACCTATATTATTAAAAATAAATAGTACAATATAATTAAATAATTCATTTTAATGTTGGAGAAATATAATAGTTAATTCTACAAAACAATACTAACCTTCTTTATTGAGTACACACCAACTACCATAACTCGATTACCTGGGACAACTCGTTCACATAAATATCTATCACAATAAAGTTGAACATGACGAGGCATTTCTCCTTGAGGAGTAGAATCACTTAACTCTTGTAATTTTAATATTTGGGAATCCACACATTTACACTTATCAGGAATAATAAAGTACGGATCTAGTGGGCATTGTGGCCTTCCTGCTTGTTCAGTTGAACATTTTCTAGGCAAAACATAACCATCCATACCAGGTTTAACGGGTAAATGAGATAAAACATTTCGACAAGCTCTACATTGTAGAGTTATTTCCGTCGCTTTAGCACGAATACTAGAAGCTGATACAATGATCCCAGGAATTTTAACTAATCGAGATATAGATTCAGATTTAATTGAACGTAATGAAGATGGTAGAGAATTGGTTGATAGCAATATTTGAACATGTTCAATATCTTCTAGGTTGTCTGTAGCTGAAAGTTCTTGAGCTAATTCAGTAGCAGCATCTTCAAAGGCGGGCAAATGTTCAATTGGTTGTTTATACAACTTGTCAGCTAAATTTTCGTCAAAACCAGCTAAATCTTCAATATTAATCTCAAGCCAAAACTGACCCAAATTGGTATTTCGTTTTAAAGTATCTCTATACTTATAATTAAAATTATCTTCATTATATGTTTTTAAAAATTCTTTAAATGACTTTTTAATAGTTCGTGCATTTAATAAAGATGACGCCAAATTGTCATCATCTCCAAATGTATCAGAAAAAAAAATTCCAGGTGTATCAAAGCCTTCCATAATCTAATAGTTATTATTTCAACTATTAGTTGATCTGTGGTTTTAATAAATGTATTAATATAAAAAAATAAATACAAATAAATAAAATTACAACTCAAAAAAAAAATTAAAACTACCACAATTTAGAATTTCCATTCCTCATATTCAATTAAACAAAACATCTCCTACAGTCAAGCGTCTGGATTAGTAAAAGGCGGGAAAATCATTATTGTACCATAGAAATGGTTAATCTTTGAAGTTAGCAACATCATTTATAAAACAATATTCATTTTGGTAAGTTGACAGTTACTCATTATCATCTACAATATATTTATTAATATATAAATTTACTTACTTAAACTATCTTAAAGATGAGTATTTCAATTATTATATTTATATAAACTGTTATTGGATACACAAATACTTAAACCTTTTTAAAAGAAAATTTCTATGATATAATTTTAAATTATTTATGAACGATCTAAGGATATCCGATCTGAAGATAAAACCACAATATATATGAAAATACTATATGATAAAACGTAAATGCATTTACTATAAATGTTGAATGTAGTGTGCAAGGTTGTATTACCACCTTGATAATATATTTTGATAAATATTGTTAAGGCTATGGAAGTTATTCTCTGAGGATGTGATAATATTATGAACAAAAATAATGACTATATTCGAGAAACCATGATGTTACTATTAAATTTATAAATCACTATAAAAATACTTTGAATTAGCTTACCTATTTAAAATGAGCTGATTATTGCATTTTAATTGCATACGTAGTTAAACATTTAAAAAAGTATAATCGCAAAAGTGATTTAAATATAGAAATTCACTTAAAGCTTTTATAGACAAAGTATTATATTACATTTAATTAATTTTCATATGTTGTTTGAGACAGAAATGTATGAGATTAATAGTGAAATGACAAAATTTTATTTTGAATCTTATTTACGTTTTTCTGATATCAAAAAATATAACTCAAGTATTATAAGGAAGTGGGTGGTTAAATTTTATCTGTGGCCCCATACGCGCAAATAATAAAAAATAAATGGGAACGTTACATGAAATTCCTCCCATTAAAATTACTTAAATGTAATTTATCAACATTTTTTGAAGTGATTGACATTGTACCGCTAGAGATGAATATCTCTGGGGATTGTAAGTATCCAAAGCACTACCCCCCCTATTTATATCTATGGTTGCCACCTAAAAAAATTAAACATTTTTCGCAACCTTTTAACTAATGACAAAATTATGTCACTTAAGATTTTAATTCATATAGTCGGCTTAGTGCAAAAACTCATTAACCGCTATTTCATTAATTTATTGCACAAACATGTGATCTCAATTTTATTATTATTCATAGTCTTTATTAAAAAACAATCTTGTAACTGTACATTAAATGCATAGACGCAAATATGGTGGGACTAGGATGAGCTTAGCCACAGTGTGGATGTAGCATAGTTGGGACAAGTATAGATGATATCTGATAGTGATTAAAATCACTATCCTAAGAAATGCTACGATGCAAATCAACTACATTTTGCATTGTTTAATTTTAAGAAATTGGTGGATTATTCCAAAAGCAAAATAAACTTCTAATTTTGTTAAACTTTGACTGCCATTTGCACATAGAATAAGTGATAGTGATAAGTCGTCGTGATTAAATTTTTAGAATAATGTTTAGAGAAATGTAAATACAATATTTTTTTAATTAACTATTTGTTTTAATAAAACTTATATTAAATAATTAAGGTATACAATGCATTTTTATTAATAAATATTCAGCATTAAAAATATAAATTAATACTTTTTTTTGTACATTCGTTGCCATTTTTTGGTTCTATTTATAACATACCATTAAATAAACTATAATTAAATAATTTAAAACATAATTTCTATTACAGGATTACCATAATAGGTCAAGATATTATCTATATATCTAATTCATTATTCTAAAAATAAAAATATTCTATTGATTAAATAAAACATCAATATTGTCTTTTATCAATATAAAATATAAAATAATACTACTACATTGAATTTGTTTAACATTTAACCCTGTTAAAAAAATAAATATAATATTCACATATATTTGTTAGAACTTCTTTACAATTATTAAATTTTTAAACTATTACTAAAATTTTGTTTAACTAGCTCAATTTAAATTAAATATAATTAAAAAAAATTCTTTTAAAATTTTAATTATTTTTTATTTTTACAATAAAATTTTTGAATTTAAATTAAATTTAAAAATATCAAAGATTGTAAAATGAACTAACATTCTTGTAAGAACTGATTGTTGTAAGATTATATTAAGTTTTAGAAGTATAAAGTAATTAATGTGCAATGTTAGTAACCTAAACTTAATTAGCTGATTAAAAAATTGATTGTGCAATGAATTTTTTCTAAAATATTTACTTTTTTTTTAAATTATTTATGAAAATAATTCATCACCAATATTTGCAAGCAATAAAATAAAAATAATTGATATTTAGTCATAATGGTTAAAATACTTTTTGATCAAAGTTATATTAAATCTTGGTTTATAATAAATTAAACAATTGCTTATGAACTTATTTCTCATCCATTAACTTTATCATTTAGAGCCTAAATTAAGTAAAAAATATAATATTTTTGAAGCAGAATTATTCAATTAAATATTATAATTATTTAAATAAAATAATACATAAAAAAAATATAATTAAATTTTGTATACTTAATATAATTAGTATTGTATTATTGAAATATTTCGCAAAACTTTTTAACAATATAAAAATACCCTGACAAATTGAAAATGAAAATATTAGATAAAGGCCTCATATAATACTTTATCACCAATATACATATTAATGTATACATATTAATATAAAAACTACCCTTTAATATTCCGGTCAGTCATGGTGATTTAATTTATCATATCGAATTTTTATTAAAATTACTGTATTGTATTATTTTTTCAAGTAAATATTTTTCTATAATTCTTTTTTCCATTATAATTATATTAAATGTTATTCTTCATTATTAAACATTAAACAAATATTCATTTTATAAAAAAAAAAAAAACTAAGGCAACTAATATTATTAACAGTAAATTAAATCAATAGCCTATTTCTTTGATCTGATGTTTATTATCATCAACAGTCAAAATATGTGTAAACAAAGTATTAAGTATAAATAGAAAATATATTTTTTTTTAATTTTAGAATAAATGAATTCTATGAAAAAAAAAATATGCAACAAAATAAGTCAGTTTAGTATTATAGTTGTCTGGATACTTTTTCCACTTCTTTCAAACACTCACTTACTAATGTTTTTGCTTTGTGAATAGATTTTTTCAATCGTTCTGTTGAATTTTTGCATCCTGTGTATATCGGTCTAATTGAACCAGACATTTCTTCAATGACACTTAATAATTCTTTATATTTTGCCCAACCATCTTCGCAGCTCAATGAATCAATGTCAAAAGTTCTTTCAACATTCTCAAGCTGTCCAGTTATACGATCAGATGTTGCTTGAGGAGGTGGAGGCATATGTTCATTTTTATAATTTTTTATTTTGTTATGTGAATTTTCTTTATTAAAATTTACTACATTCTTTTCTTTTGGTTGTTCATAAGCATAAGGTTTTCTTTTATTAGCTTGATTAAGATTCATTAGAAATTCAGGATAATTTAAAGGTAAATTAAAAGGCCATTGTTGTTCAGGTTGTGGCGTATAATTAGCATAGTGTTTACGATTCATTGTTAAATCTAACAGAGGGTTATAATTACTCATATCATAAGGCATATGATTCATATTAGGCAAACTAGTTTTTCCTCTCTTACGAGGAGTAGTTCCATGAGAATTAGATGGTAATGAATGTTTATTTTTGCTCTTTCCACTACTTGAATTTGGAACCAATGATAAAGAAACTGTACTTTGTGGAGAAGTAGATGATACAGCATATGGATTGTTTGATTTAGAACTTTGAGATATAGGAATAATGGTTAATTCTGAATGACATCCCATGTTGCCAGATTTAATTGCTTCTAACAAACTATTTTCCATGATTTTTTCTTTTAAATAATAACTGAAAATAGTATTTTTATGACTTAGATATAGTTATTTTACTCTATATCAGATAAAATAATAGAATTAATGAAAGGAATATTATCTAAATCTAAAAAATTGCAAAAATAAAGATCCTTAATAAGTAAAAGGGCAGTAAAATGATAGGTTTGTTAAGAATGGGATAATAATTAAAATTTTTTTTTTTATAATATGATAAAACTATTTTTCAAAAAGTAAATTAAAAAGTATGAGTTTATTGTCATTTAATTTATAACACAGTTTAAAATCTATAGAAAAAATTATGTGATAAACTACTAAAATTGTATAGAATAATCAACAATTACAGAAAAAAAATCTTCACGGTATGTGCAGTAATTAATTTAGCTTTATTAAAAAAATGTTTATATTTTTAATTTCTAAAATAAAGTATATATATGTATATATATATATATCGCTTATGTCCTTTTATCTATTAGAAGTTATTTATAAAGTTATAGTAATCCACCTTATGTTAATGAGATCTAAAAGCAAGAAGTGTGAATATTTAAAATTAATGAACAAATTAATTTTTTTTTTTTATTGAAGTTTGTTACAATTCTGGTAAAAATTTTCATTCAAAAATTAAATATGAGAAATTAATATACGAATCAGAGTACATTTTTCCAGAGGTAAATCATAAATTATAGGTAAGTAGTTAAATTCTACTAAATATTACATTACTTTTCTTTAACATAAACACTAATTATTTAGATGTTTACTTACTAGTTTAAATCGAGGAAAAATATGTTTTTTAATAGGAGTAAAAATAAAAAGTAGGTTATAAGTACTTAATAATAATCTAGTCTATGGTTATAAGTTAAACAAAACGATTTGATATAATCTATTACTTATCACTTGTAATATTAATTATTACGTATTCACTTGTTTAACATAAATATATCAATTTTATAAGAATATTTATACGTCAATCCTATTTTAAAAAATTAAAAAAAAATTTTATCGTCGTAAAAGGTATACAAGCAATGTACATTTGAATTAATAATAAAAACAATACTAATTTTTAATCAATGAACAACAATAATTAACAAATACAATAATACTAAGTGGATCAAACATCAAGATTATTCACTATTTTAGTAATTTACTAATATTTTCTAACATTAAAAGTGGCTCTATGTTCAATCAGTCAATCAACTGATAATTTATTATGATAAAAGGTAATGGATTCCTCATTAGATGACATGAGTAGTGAAATGTTTTTATAATATATGTGTTCAGCCTCTAATAAAAGTGATGGCTGTGTTGCAGGGAAATGATCCAATCTTAGTTGATAAATACAACACGATTTCAAATTTGAAATATAATATTTAATCTTCAAAAAAGGTTATGTTATTAATAGTTAAAAATACAATACTTGGTATGAACAGACTAACTCTATGTATTGAATAAACTTAATAATTTTACTCAGCAGACCGGTTCCATATTATATTATAGATAAATATATTAAAAATTACAATTAGATTTCTCTGGGGGTGGTGATCACAGTAGAAATTATTTGACTACTCTGTTACTAATTGCGACTTGATTCATTTGTAAGAGTGCATAATTTATACTTGTAATACATTAGCTTTGGTTGCAAGTATATAAAATAATTATATTCATAAAAATTAATTGTAGTGCGTGTTGATATTCATTAGCAACTTAAATGGAACATAATTATAAAACAAAAATATATTAATTATGAATATAAATTCACTTTTAAGTCTGTCAATGTTCTATTTATGTTTATCTAATTGTAAATTCTATTTTTATACTGAATTTATGTTTTAATTAAATGGTGGCATGGACACAAACTCATTATGGATACACCTCACTTTCAGCCTAATTATTTTAATATTATAAAAATTTATATTTTAGTTTTTAATAAAAGTTTTAAAATTTTAAATACATTGAGCAAGTCAACAATGAAGCCAGTATTTTGTGTGAGGCAACTAAAAGTAATGTTTAGGGAAAAGAAGAAAAAGCTGTGTGTGGTATTTATAGATTTGGAGAAAGCGTATGATAGAGTACCGAGAGAGGTTTTAAAGTGGGCATTATTGAAAAAAGGTACATTAATATAATAGAGGATATGTATGATGGCACTTGAACTAGGGTAAAAAGTGTGGTAGAAGTAACAGAAGGTTTTCGGGTAAGAGTAGGAGTGCATCAGGATTCTGCTTTAAGCCCTTACTTATTCTCTATATTGATGGATGAAATTACTAGAGTAATACAAGGGAGGTGCCGTGGTACATGTTGTTTGCTGACGATATAGTGTTAATAGGCGGAAATTAATCAAAGGCTAGAGATGTGGAGATCAGCTCTTGAAGAAAAGGGTTTAAGAATAAGTAGAAGTAAGACAGAGTATATAGAGTACGAGTTTGACAAAGGAGAACATGAGGTAGGTGAAATGAGGAGATCAATGACAATAGGCGAGGACGTGATTGAAGAGGTGGAAAGTTTTAAGTATTTAGGGTCAGTTGTGCAAAAGAGCGGTGGTATTGATGAGGATGTAAGACACAGAATTAAGTGCAGGTGGTTAAAGTGGAGAGAAGCATTTGGCGTCTTATACGATAAAAGAATTCCAATGAGGCTGATAGGTAAATTCTACAAGACTGTAGTGAGACCAGCTATGATGTATGGTTTAGGGTGTTGGGCGGTTGATAAGAAAGTAGAGCAGAAAATGACTGTAGCAAAGATGAGAATGCTTAGATGGATGAGTAGAGTGACTAGAGAAGATAGGATAAGAAATGACCATATAAGAGGGAGTATAGATGTGGCGTCAATGTAGATAAGATGAGAGAAAATAGACTTAGATGGTTTAGTCATGTTATGAAAAGAGAAGAATCGGAAGACGTAAGAATAGTTATAGAAATGAATGTTGAATGAAGAAGAGGTAGAGAAAGACTAAAAAAGAGATGGAGAGATGTTATTGAAAGCGATTTGAGGACAGTTGATGTGGGAGATCGTGTCTAGTGGAGTTTAGGATACGAGTAACCGATCCCTAGCAGTTGGGATTAAGGCGAGGAAGAAAAGAAGAAATACATTGTGCGAATGTAAGTTTATGAAAAAGTTATAATTTTATATTAAATTTTTTTATTTTATAGATATAACAAAAATTAAAAGTTGAATTTTTTTTATAAAATAATACGCATTTTTATTTTTTGCCTGTGATAAATTCAATTCTTTGAAATATTTCAAATAGAAATAATAAATCTTGATTACTCATTGTTCATTCAATAGTGATAATTTGATAATAAAAATTCAACCAACTTTAAGCATTGCTCATAATTATATTCTATTCTAAAAAAAAGATTAATTAAATTTTTTTTACAAAAGTTTAACAAATCATATTAGAATTAGCATCATACTCGAGTACTATCTTTTTTTAATTAATAAATCGTATATAGAATTTTTTCTGAATTTTTCTCGAATATGTTTAGCTGTAAGTCTGTTATCATTGTTCAAATGTCTTCTTTGATAAGCGTCTACTTCTAAAATTTTTCTTCTTGGTATATGTAGTAAAGCATTTAACCAATTATTATCAATTTTAAGATCTGCCATGATCATTACCATCTAAAAAATATTTTTAAGAGAGTTACTACGTTAAATGCTATATTGTAGTTTAGTAATTTAATCCAACCAGTAGTTCAGGAAGTTTTTTTGTAAAACAAAATTAGAAATAAAATTTAGAATAAATTTAGAATTTATTTAGAATAAATTAGTATTTATTAGTCAAGTAATATGGTTTTCATAGTCAATTAAATATTATGACTAATAATGAAATTTCTGATCTAAATGATAAACTAAAAAATATATATATATAACCTTTGCAAAATTTAAGACAAATTCAATAATGTTAACACATGGCAACTTAAGCTCAAAGTTTTAATTTGTCTGGGATTTTTTTTAAATTATTTACTTATCTTCAATAACTTACCAAATATTATAAATACAAAGAAATGTTTGAAATAAAAAGTACAAGAAATGACATACTCTACAAAAAGTGTTTTTCATTTTTTGTTTAGAACTAGTATTTAAAGCTCAAATACAAAATATATTAAATATCTTAAATTTTGAATTTCATAAAATAATTTTTCTTTTTATACAACTAAATCAATATCTTTGTTATGTACTTGAATTTATCATCAAAAAATTATTTTAACAACAATTTTAATATTTAATTTAGTTTAAATCATTTTATGTTTAAACCTTGTTGATTCAATTTTATGAATATTTAATCACCAAATGGTCATAGTTGTAAAAAATACTTTTAAAAAGTATTTTAAATAATACTCAAATATTTAAAAAAAAATGTATTTAAAATACTATTTGAATACTTTTCATACAAAAGTATTTGAGTAATACTCAATTACTTTACAAAAGTATTTCAAATACTAAGAATACAATTAAAAAAAAATAATAATGTTTTTATTTTAACTAAGAGCAAACGGTTCCACCTAAATAATTACCAAGAGGGTAATTTGAGTCAAATATTGAGTACTCTTAAATTAAGAGAACTCATTTATTATTTTCGATATTTTTTGTTAGAGGTAAATAAAATTAATTATTGGAGACTAATCAGTGAAAAAAATAAATATTAGTACACATGTAAAAACCTGTAAAGTATGTCTTATTGACAATAGAGTAAATCATTTGAACCTGCAATAGGCTATTGTAGGTTCAACTGATGTATTAAAAATAGATGTATACATAATAGCATTTAGATAAGCACAATAATTATGTTATACTATAATGTAACATATAAAATAACAGAGAATTATTCTCAATTTTCATTTTGACTGAGTTTAATTTGCTTGCTGTGTTACGGTTAGCAAATTA